CTGGGATGCTAGCCAGAGTCAATACCATGCTTCTTGGCCATGAACCTCCTCCTTTATATTCTGGTGTTTTGGAAAAAATTGACAGCATGTATCTAACTCCCGTGTATTCAATAACTACCAGCTACTTCCATGGCCCAAATGTGAAAAAAAATCTAAATTATGGCTAATGTCAAAATTAGAAAGTTTGAAAAGATCTTTCTCCAAAAACCAGAGGTAGAGCCTGGGCTAGAGACTGCTTGGCTAGTAACATGCTTGCCCCATCCACGCTCTATCCTCAGAGTTCATATAAGTGCCACATGTTGGCGTGCACTTGTAATTTAAGTGCTGGGGCTTGGTGTCTAGACAGGCTGCCCTAACTGATGAACCCTAGGCCAAAGAGACCAAGGTTGTTCTCTGGCCTCTGCATACAGGAATGCACACAAACACACTTTTATCAGGAAAGCACAGCCAAAAGCACTTGTCCTTAAATGGGCTTAGCTGAGACATCTCTTCCTGAGCCTACACTATAGTTAGTACCTGCCTACTAACAATGACAGCTTATGTCCAGGCATGGCCACAAGCACCTGCAGTTCCAACTACTTGGAAGTCTAGTTGGAGTGAGGCCAGGAATTGGAAGCCAACCTGGGCAACATAGCAAGGCTCCAATCTCAACACATACCTCACATCTGCAGAACACATTCACAGGTGCTGTAATAACATGTTAATTAATAACCACTGGTCTCCACACTGTTAATTTACTGACAGGGTTGCTGAGTGACTAGTTCCTGTAGGACTTACAATCCTGTATTTCTTTCTCCTGCATACCAGGTGAGCCTGGTGCACCAACCTGACTATCAGTTCCTACCGGCTTTGGCATTCATACTGGTAACAAAAGAGCTTCAAATTCATTAAGCAAAATGTGCTTTCACAGTTCTTCCTCTTCTGCTAATGCATTTTACAGCTCTATTTCCCAAATGAGGTAACTGATGTGTGCGGTGGCTAAGAAGCTTGCTTCAAGGACACTCGGGAAAAGGAAGAGCTAGAGCCAAGATCTGAACATAAGGTGGTGCATCCTCACTGGTAACCATGACCCCTGTGCAAGATGATTCTAGCAAACTGCTTATAATATGTTTTGGAGACATACGGGTAATTTGGCAAATTTGCAAGACAGGAGTACTTTCTAATTTTTGTGGGTGTCACCTCCAGAAGACCAACGACCTTGTCCTTGTCGGTGGGAGACGCTGCGCTCCCAGCACCTGACCCCACACACGATAACGTTAGAGGGATGAAGAATGAATGAATGTCTCTGCCTAGAAGCACAGATGCCCTCTCGTGGCTTTCTGCACGTCCCTATGGCTTCTGATACTCTTATTGATACGCGGATTAGCGCCCACCGTGGGGGGCGTGGGATCCGCGCTTTTCGCATCTCGCAGAGGCAGCGGAAGCAGCTCCCTGGGGAAGGAGGGCTGGGCGGCGGGAGGTGCTGCAGGCGCGTCCCGGATCCCCGCGCGGCTCCACGCAGAGACGCCATCCGCCCCGACGCCCGACCCCGCGAGAGACAAAGACTGGCTACTGGGCCCACCGCCCTCGCCCACCTCCGCGGAGACCGAGCGCGACGCGGCTTGCAGACCACAGACAGCTGGGCTGACCCCAGCCGGGGCAGTCGCTCCCGGCGGCCGCGCCCCGCCACCTCTTCGCAGCCTCTCGGAGGGTCGCCGGGCACGAGAGTCTGCGGGCCGCGCTGGCCTGTCACCTTCAGGGCCGCCCGGCCCCCGCCGCCCGAACCCTCAGCACGCGCTTCCGTCGCCGCCATTCCCTGAAGCCGCGCTTCCGCGACGCCTCGCCCTTCCCGCGGCACCCGCTGCCCGCACCTCCCCGCTGCGCGCCCCAGCACCATACCTGCTGTGAGAGGGGGACGAGCGGCGCCGCCATCTTCGTGCGGACTCGGCCTCCCGAGCGCCGAAGGGGGCGGGGACGGAGCTGTGCGTGCGCAGTAGGACGAAGGAGGGATGCGATGCGCACGCAGCCCGGCCAGGGCGAGGGCATGCCTGAAGGCTAGGGTACAAGAGTACACATGCGCAGATGGAAATCCAGAGTTTCACGTGCCCTCATTTTCAGTAGAGGGGCGGGGCCTTGAACATACTCCGCTGGGGGGGGCGGGGCGATTCTGGCTCGGGGCGGGGCTTTGACGGGGAGGCTCGGCGCGTAGCCTAAGTGAAGTGGGCCGGACAAGATGGTAGGGCGTATAGAGGGGCAGAACCTAGAGCACTTTGACTGGAAGAGGTGGGACCTGAACCTCAGGGTTCTGGAGTAGATGGGGTGCGGGGACCAGGCGCGGGCATCAGAAGCACAGCTGGCTTGGGGTGGGCAGGGTAGGCGGTCTGGGGGTGGGGCCTGTATTCATAGTCTGATTGGAGTGGGCTCACAACGAGCCCAGGGCGTGTTGTGAAGTGCACCATCCGGCAGCAGGCCTCCCTTCTAGGCCTTGGGCCTCCAGCTCCCTGAGAATGGATGGCTCGCTGCTGGGGACGCTCTAGACTTCCCGTGTTCCCAGCCCTGTGTGCGCCTCTCAGAGCCTGGCTAAACAAACACAGGCATCTCTTAGCCTCCCTACTCTAGAAATCCTACAAATGCTTAGGGTTTGCTGAACTTTTCCCAGAGACATGGGAAAAGGCCCGAAGTACCACGGCACCCAAGTCAAGCTTAGGCCCTGTACAATGTCGGTACCACCCTGTGGGTTTGTTAAACAGACTTTCAGACTTAGGTTCTGATTCTGTTTGCAGATGTGGGCGTGGCCTGACATTTTGATTTGAGGTTTGTTTTTGCTTTTTTTGTAATGTATGTGTGTATGCCTGTGTATCAGCTACATGCGCACTCTTAACTAGGAGTTAAGAGCATTTATGAGCCTCCCAATGTAAGTGGGAAACTAACTTGGGTCCTCTGGAAAAGCAATAAGCATCTTTAACCAATGAACCATCTCTTCAGCTACTATATTTTTAAAGATTTATGCGTGTGTGTTGCCTAAAAGAATGGATATGCATCACCTGTGTGCCTGGTGCCCACAGAGGTCAGAAGGCGTGGGGTTTTCTGGAAGAGGAGTTTCCAGTGGTTATAAACCATCATCACATAGATGCTGAGAAACAAACATGTGTCTTCTGAAGAAGCAACAAGTGCTCTTACTAACCCCTGAGCCATCTCTCCAGCCCCTACTTGTCTTTACTATCCTATTACTTAATGTGTGGGTGTGTAGTCAGAGGACAACTTGTAGGAGTCAGGTCTCCCCCTCTGTTGCAAGCCCCAGAGATAGGAATTGGGTTTTGTTAGCCTTGGTAGCAAGCATCTTTACCCACTCACTGTTCCCTTAGGACACCTTCATTCAAAACACTATATAAAAGTGCTGGGATAAAGGGCATACAGCACCACACTCATTCCCACTTGGTTTGATGTCTAAAGTTAGTTGTGATGATTGATCCTGATTGTCAGTTTGACAGAATCTAGAATCACATACAAGACAAAGCTCTGGGGTACATCCGTGACTTTCTGGACTGGGCTGTGAAGGGAAGACCTGGCATTCTATTGGCTGGAGTCCAGGACTAATGAAACCGGAGAAAGTGAGCTGAAAAGCATTCTGCTCTGCATCCTGACTGGATGCTGGGTAACCAGTTGCCTCACCACACACAACACAGGTAAGTGAAAGGGTCTAGAGGCTGGCCAGAAGAGGGCATCAGACCCCCTGGGACTGGAGTTTGAAGACTCCTGTGAACACAGGTCCTCTGGAAGAGCAGTAAGTGCTCTTGATCACAAACTCATTTCTCTAGCCCATAACAATTTTTCAAATTTTAAGTTTTGTAGCCAGCTGTGGTGGCACATGCCATTAATCCCAGTACTCAGGATGCAGACCAGCATCTGCTCTACATGAAGAGCTATAAACTACATAGTAAAACACTGTCTCAAAAATATTGTAAAGGAAATGTAGCCACATATGGTGGCACACACCTGTCATCCAGCACTTGCTGTGAGAATTTCTTTTCTATCAAGAGTGGCTACTGTCATGGTTACTTTTCTGTTGCTATAAGACACCACAACCAAGGCAACTTTCGAAGCGTTAGTTTGGGAGTTCAGGATTTCAGGAGCTTAGAGACCATGGCCCTCGTGGTGGAAGCATGGGAGCATGCAGGCAAACATGGCACTGGAGAGTAGGTGAGAGCTTATACTTAACCCAGAAGCAGCAAGCAGAGACACACTGTGCAGGGTGTGGGCTTCAGTGACACATGTCCTTCAACAAGGTCATACCTTCTATCCTTTCAAATAATGCCACTCTCTAACATTTAAATATATGAACCTATGGGTGCCATTCTTATTCAAATCGCCACATAGACAAAAATACTTTTACATACACATAAACGTTTATATTAAAAGAAAAATAAGGGGGCTAGAGAGTCAGGGGTCCAGTGTTAGGAGCACTGGCTGCTCTTGCAGAGGACCTGCGGTTCAATCCCCAGCACCCATGTCAAGTGACTCACAACCCTATAACTCCAGCTCCAGGGGAGCCAATGCTCTTCTGGCCTCCATGGTACATGGAGGTACATGTGGCATGTGGTAGAACACAAACACTCAGAAACACATTCAGAGGTAACACTTGTAAAAATTAATTTTATCATCTTTTATTTCATGAAGGTATTTAAGAAGTTCCAAAAACACACTGTTTATGGCCAGATTCTTACAGGTCTCTGGTTCAGTAGTCTGTTCTGCACAGGGGAAACTTTTTTAAAGACAATGTCTCACTATGTGGCTCAAGTTGTCCTAGACCTCGCTATATAGACCAGGCTGGCCTGGAACTCACAGAGATCTCTGCCTGCCTCTGCCTCTGAAGTCCCAAGATTAAAAGTATGTGCCCCACAGGCAGCCGAAGGAAACGTCCTGATATATGCACCAGGGTTATAAGGTCTGGGGAGGATTAGGGGACTCCACCACAAACATGGACTTGTTTTTCAGAAACTGGACAAATGACCATGCAGACGTGTGATCGTTCAGATGTGTATTAGCAGGGAGGCTGGGCCAGTCCTCTGCATGCACTGTGGGGACGACTACAGTTCACCTTGCCTGTGGAATCTGCTGAAATGGCTGTTGTGCCTGTGAAACTTCCCTACCAGCAGCTCCTCATCCTCCTCTCGGGCTTTTTTCACTTCTTCCTTGGCCTGTATGGCATCCATCTCCTTTTCTGGACCCTGGAGGGACAAACATAAAACAGGCTGGAGCAGAGGCTTATATAGTAGGGTGCTTGTAGTTCAGTTGTTAGAGTGCTTATAGCTCAGTTGATGTTTGCCTAGCACTGGATTCAATGGCCAGCACAGGAAAAACTGCTCAGGGATCAGAAGTCCAAGGTCACTCCTGACAGCAAGGTTAAGGCAAGTCTGGGAGTATGTGAGACCCTGTCTCTAAATAGATAAAAACTGACTATAGCAGACCATGCTGTTATACAACTGTCATTCCAGCACTTGGGAAGCAGAGACAAGATATGATTCCCATAAGACGTATGGTGAATTCCTCTGCAGCAAAAGCTCTACTGAGACCCCTCCCTCTCAAGAAAATAGAGCTATAGGGATGGCTTAGACATATTACTCTTCCAGAGGACCTGAGTTTAGTGCCCAGCTCTACACAAGGCAGGTCACAACTGGTGTGACTGCAGCTCCAGGAAATCCCACACAGTCTTATGGCTTCTGGGGGCACTGCACTCATGTGCACAGGCATAATTACATATAAAAAAAAAAAGAAAAAAAACAGGCTTGGTGGTACATACCTTTAATCCCAACACTCAGGAGGCAGAAGCAGGAGGATCTCTGTGAGTTCAAGGTCAGCCTGGTCTACTTACTGAATCCTTCTCTCAAACAAAAAAAAAAAAAAAAAAAAGTGAGCTGGGTGATTTGTGCCTACCTTAGTCTCTCCCCAGGTGGCCTTGCCAAACTTCTCTGCATATTCTTCATCATCTGTGATCAGGAAGTTATCAAAGATGGTTCCAGATCTCACCTGTGGATGGAAGCAGGCCCTCACTGGTGATGGGAAATATACAACCTTTCTCATGGCCAGGGGTACTTAGCTCAGTAGTGCACCCATGATCATGTGTCATTGGCCATGATGAAGCCCATTTCTAGGATGGCAAAGCCACATTCATTTCAGGTGAGGCTCAGGGTAACCCCAAGGGTAAAACACACTCTTACTATGCAGGAGGATCTGGCTTACATTGCTAGCATCTAAGTGTGGGTAGTAGACATCAACTGGGACTGCAGAAGCCCCGGCTCCACCCCTACTGTATGTCCCACAGCTGACAAGAGTTACAGTCAGCACCAAAGGAAGGGACTCCTAGGGGGCAAAGATGACAGGCCCATGCTATGTCTTCAAAACCACATGCAACTGCCAATGATAACAAAAGTGAAAAGTAATTACAGGTTGGGGCTCAAGGGAGGGCTGGAGGTTAAGAGTGCTTCCCACTTCGGAAGCAGAGTTCAGTTTATAGGATCCACACCAGTTGTCTCACAAAAGCCTGTAACTCCAGCCCCAGGGGATCAGACACCCTCTTCTGGCCTCCAAGGATACTTGCACATATGTGTACATATACAATACACATACAGCTTTAAAATATAATAAATTGAGGGCTGGAGAGATAGCTCAATAGGTAAGAACTCTTACTGGGAAAGCAACACCTGAGTTCAAATCTTCAACCCCCACATGAAAAGCCAAGCATGGTTGTATAGGTGCTTACAACTCCAGTATTTTAGGGGCAAGAGGGGCACATGTGTTACACACACACACATGCACACACAGCACACACACAAGAAAACAACGTTTGTGTATCAAGCAGGTTATGTTAAAGTTCAAGTTATTAAATCAGCCAGCCACAGTGACATATGCTTAGGATCCCAGCACTCAGGAGCTGAGGCAAGAGGGTTATTATTTCAAGGCCAGCCTGGATTACACAGCAAGGTTCAACCCAGAGCTATTAAAGTAAAATAAACTTAAAGCCAAGTCACCTGCCATAGCTCCAGACCGACGGCACCAATGTTCTCAAACTCTGAGAGGTCGTACTGCGTCAGATAGCTGGCAGGCTTCATCTCTCGGTGGAGCCACACATCTTTATCTATGCCCTCAGCTTTCAGGCCATCCTGTAAAAGCAGAAGCTTACCAGGCTTGTGTCACAAGCAGCAGAAATGGTTGGTTTTTTGGTTTTGTTTTTTCCTATCAAAGGTGACTAGCCCACCAAGGGCCAATATTCCATCAATCTTTCTTCAACTTATAAAAGGTTTTCTTGTTGTTATTGTTTGGGTTTTGTTTTGTTTTTGGTTTTTTGTTTGTTTGGTTGGTTGGTATTGGTTTTTCAAGACAGGGTTTCTCAGTATTGTTTTGGAGCTTGTCCTAGAACTCACTCTGTAGACCAGGCTGGCCTCGAACTCACAGAGGTCTTCCTGCCTCTGCTTCCCAAATGCTGGGGTCAAAGGTGTGCCACACCAACACAAAGGAATTCAAGTCTTTTCATTTCCTCCACTTGGTAAAAATTCCATGAAAATTTTTTAGCCTTCCTCATCTGGTTAAAAGGAAAAAAAAATTTTTAAAGCATCCTGCCAGCCAGCCAGTGGTGGCAGACACCTTTGATCCCAGCATTTGGGAGGCAGAGGCAGTCAGATCTCTGTGAATTTGAAGCCAGCTTGGTCTACAGATCGAGTACCAGGACAGGCTCCAAAACTACACAGAGAAACCCTGTCTCTAATAATAATAATAATAATAGTAATAGTAAACAAAATAAAGACACCCTGCCCCTGATTCCTGGAACTTGATAGCCTGCAGCAACCCATCCCTTCCCCCCTTTCCTTTATTTCTTTGCATCAACTCTTTCAAAAGTAGCAAACCTCAAAAGACTGTGATCAGGTTCCCTTGAGACACAGTCACCATTTGTGTTAGAATAAAAACTAAACAAACTTTTCCCCATATGCCTCCTAGCAGGCTTGGGTCACGGTGTATCCTTTTCACAAAAAGAAATTGCCTTGCCAGGTTACTTTTACTTTGTGACACAGAGGATATTCTCTTCTAAGAGCACAGGTGGGACAGGGGCAAGGTCCACCACAAGGGACCAGAACCAGCACAGGAAGAAGCCACACACCTGGTATGGTGGCTTCTGCAGCCAGTCCCCATCCAGCTCACTGTTCCAATCGCTTGGCTTGCTGGCGCCTGCATCCAGAAAGTGCTTTTCCCAATCCTGCAAATACAGAAGGAAAGCATGGCACCAGAAGCACACGGGGAAGAAGATTTTTGTAAAATGTTTTTATTATTTATAATGCATATATGCATATGTGCACATGTGGCAGTCAGAAGACAACTTGCTGGAGACACTTCTGTCCTTCCACCTTGTGGGTTCCGGGATCAAATTCAGGTGCTCATTGCTTGGCAGCAGGAACCTTTTCTTGCTGAACCATCTCACCACCCCCAGGAAATGCTTTAGTGTAGGCTATAGGGGGAACCTACAGAGAGCACATGCCCAATGGGGCTGGGACAGAGCCCACATGGCTTCCACAGCTAGCTGGTGAGCACTAGCAAATAGGCAGGAAATACTTAGAAACAGATGAGCAGAGCAGGGCCCTAACTCCTGTCACAATGCCCTTTCCTATTCACTGGAGTGGTCTCCAAGCCTGTGGATGGATTTGTGTCAAGTTGGCACAGGCTGGGATCATCTGGAAGAAGGGAGCCTCAATTAAGAAAATATATTCATAGAAGTGTAATGGTGGCACATACCTTTGATCCCAGCACTCAGGAGGCAGAGGCAGAAGGATCTTTGAGCTTGAGGCCAGTTTGGTCTACAAAGTAAGTTCCAGGAGAGCCAGGGCTACAAAGAGAAACCCTGCCTCAAAAAAACCAAAATGAGAGAGAGAGACAGACAGACACAGACATACAGAAAGGGAGAGAGAGAGAGAGAGAGAGAAAGAAATTTCCTCACTAAGATTGGGTAGTAGGCAAACCTATATGGAATTTTGTTTCTTCTTATAATTTATGTATCTACATGAGTACTCTGCACATATGTCATCATGCCAAAAGTGAACATCAAATCCTATTATAGATGGTTGTGTTTGCTGGAAATTGAACTCAGAACCTCTAGAAGAGTAGCCATATTTTCTTAGTGATTGACAGGGAGGTCCCAGCCCATTGTGGCCGATGTCATCCCTGGGCTGGTAGTCTTGAGTTCTTTAAGAAATGAGGCTGAGACAGACAGTGGGGGCATACACCTTTAATCCCAGCACTCTGGAGGCAGAGGTAGATCTCTGTGAGTTTGAGGCCAGCCTGGTTGACAGAATGAGTTCTAGGACAACCAGGGCTACATAAAGAAACTCTCTCAAAAGCAGAAAAAAAAACAAAAAAAAAAAAAAAAAAAACAAAGCAGGCTGAGCAAGTCATGAGGAGCAAGTCCATAAGCAGCACCCCCAATGGCCTCTGCATCAGTTCTGCCTCCAGGTTCCTGCCCTATGTGGGTTCCTGTCCTGACTGCCTTCAGTGATGAAACCCTTTCCTTCCCAAGTTGCTTTGGTCATGGAGTTTCATCACAGCAATAGTAACCCTAAGACACCAAGGCTATAGGACTGCCAATTCCACCAAGTGACAAATGCATACCTCTTGGCATTTGTTTGCATGTGGGGTTTGTTGTAGCCCTGATGGGTTTTGCTCTCCTTAGGATGGAAGCAGGGAATGAGGTGCAAGAAGATGCAGCTAAACCTCAAGACAGCGGCAGACCAGAGTCAAACTACCTTCAGCTACTGCTATTCCCTGTGAGAGCCTGTCCCTGCATCTGACCCTAATCTCTGTGAGACAAAAAAAAAAAAAAAAAAAACCCTACAGTGGCTTGGCCTGATGGCACACACTTTAGTCCCAGAACCTGTGAGGCAGAGGCAGGTGGATCTCAGTGAGTTTGAGGCCAGCCTAGTCTACATAGTAAATTCTGTGTCAGCCAAGGATACTCAGTGGGAGACTGTGTCAAAAACAAACACCCCACTAAAATTGTTTTTTGCAATTCCTTGAGTTATGTGTCCAGGCTTCAGTAAGAGGTCTGTGTGGACCAGAATACAGTGGAAACAGGCCATGGAGAAGGACTCTCACATTTCCAGGCTGCAGCTCACTTACCTGGGCTTTGTCACCTTCCACTTGATCCCAGTCTCTAGACTCGGCTGATGTCTTTTCCATTTTCTTCAGCGATGTCAGGTGCCAGTCATACTCAATGCTGCCTGACTCAATGGACTGGCCATCGATTTTCACCTCATAAGAAAGATCTGGCCTCAAAATCAGGGTGTAGAGGTGGGTGAAGCCGTCAACCTGCACAGAAACCACAGTGAGGTACACTTTTATTGTGTGCCCAGATGTGTACTCTAAAACAGGAACCAGGAGTGGGAGATGGCGCAGTGGGCAAAGGCACTTACCACCAAGTCTGGTTACCAGAGTTCAATCCACAGGACCCACATTGGTAGGAGAGAGAGGCTCTCCCACAATTGTCTCTCTCTCTCTCTCACACACATACACACACACACACACACACACACACACACACACACACACACACCACTGACAACCCCCGACACACACAGGGGGAGGGGACAGTAGGGATAAAGCAGAGCTGGGTGTGTCGGTGTTGGGGGTGGCACAGACCTCTGCCCCTAGCTGAGGCGGGGAGACTGAGTTTCTGACCTGCCTGGGCTACAGTGCAAGACCTGACTTTTTTGTTTGTTTGGTTTGGTTTTTCCAGACTGGGTTTCTCTGTGTAACAGTCCTGGCTTTCCTGCAACTCACTTTGTAGACCAGGCTGGCCTCAAACTCACAGAAATCCTCTGTCTCTGCCTCCTAAGTGCTGGGACTTAGGAGCATGTACCACCATTGGCCAGCCAAAGTCATCTTTTTATCTGAGTTAAAAAAAAAAAAGTTTTCAATTTGTCTTTCTATGCCTCTCACACATCTCTCCAGACTTCTTTTCACTACATTTTATTTGGTAGATAGAGGTCAGAGGACTTTTGGGTTTTCTCCTTTTACCTTAAAGATCCCAGGAATTGAACTTAGGTCTTCAGATTTGGCAGCAAGCCCTCTTACCCACTGAGCCATCTCACTGCCCCATCTCCAGGTTTTCACAGCTGGAAAGTTGCAGGGAAACTCCGCTGTGAACCTGGATTCCTGATAGGGAGTTGGGAGCCAGTGGTCATGTGAGAATTGTTCTGGAACTTTCCAGCATGGAAATCTAGGCTAGAAACCTAGTCCTCAGAGTTGAAGGGTCTTTATGATAAAAACTTATATTTAATATCAGTGTGTTTCCATGAGTATACACATATGCATCATTAGAGTATGAAGATCAGTACAGACCAGAACTTTTGTAAGTCAATTCTCTCCTTCCACCATGTGGGGTCCAAGGTTCAACCTCAGGTTGTCAGGTTTGGTGATCCTTCCAACTGAACCTTCTTGCCAACCCCTCGTTCTTAGATTTCTTTTGTAATGAATGTATGTACATGAAGCACAAGCCTTTAATCCCAGGACTTAAGAGGAAGAGGCAGGCAGATCTCTGAGTTAGAGGTCAGCCTGGTCTACAGAGTGAGTTCTAGGACGTGTGTGTGTGTGTGTGTGTGTGTGTGTGTGTGTGTGCACGCGCATGTGTACACTCAAGCTCATGCATGCAGATGCCTATGGAAGTTAGAAGAGAGTGTTGGATGCCACATAGTGAGGTAAGGCAATTGTAAGCCACCTGATATGTGTGGTGGGATCTCAACTCTGGTTCTCTGCACTCAACCCCTGAGCCATCTCTACAGCCCTTGTCTTCCACTTTTAAAAGGGTACTTTACTGTTATTAGCTCCTTGCAAAGATGAGGAAGCAGGCAGAGGAGTGTTTTCTGGCAGCAGGCTGGTGAAAACTATTCTGTGACATGTAGCTGGAGGACTCTCAACTCACCACACCACATGTGACCTCATGCTCCAAAGTTCTAGGGAAAACTTCTCTGCCTTTGAGTGAACAGACACAATTTTTTGTTTTTTGTTTTTGTTTTTCCAGACAGGGTTTCTCTGTGTAACAGCACTGGCTGTCCTGGAACTAGCTCTGAAGACCCAGGTAGCCTCAAACTCACAGAGATCCGCCTGCCTCTGCCTCCCGAGTTCTGGGATTAAAGATGTGCACCACCACTACCCATCAGGCAAAAATGTTTTTAAAAACATGTAGCCTTGTACAGCTGACTAAAAACTGTCATTTTCCTAGATGTGATGGTGCACATCTTTAACCCCAGCTCTTGGGAGGCAGAGGAAGGCATATCTCTGAGTTCAAAGCCAGCCTGGTTTATACTATGAGTTCCAAGCTAACCAGGGCTACATAATGAAACCCTGACAATAAATAATTCATGCCCAGTGCCTAAAGAGGCCAGAAGAGGATTTCTAATCCCTGGAATTAGAGTTACAGATGGTTGTGAGCCTCCATGTGGGAGCTGTTATCAAACCCAGGTTCTTTGCATAAGCAGCCCATGCTCCTACTGAACCATCTCTCTAGCCCCTCTACATTTCTTTCTTATGTGTGTATATGTACAATGCATATGGATACAGAGCCACCTGTATGTGCATGTACCTGCTTGTAGAGACCAGAGGCAGAGGTCATGTGTCTTCCTTGATGGCTCTCCACCTTCCACATGGACATAGTTTCTCTCTGTACTCAGAGTCGTTGATCTGGCTGGTCAAGTAGCCTGATCCAACAGCATTGCCCCAACCTGCCTTATGCTAGTGTTATGTCTTAAAAACCAAACCAATATGCTGGTGTGGTGGCTCACTCTGGTAAGCCAGATATTTGGGAGATGGAAGCAGGAAGATCAGGAGTTCAAGTCATCCTTGGATGCACAGTGATTTTAAAGGCCAGCCCGAACTACATGAGAGCTTGTCTCAACATAGAGACAAAATACACAAAGCCTTCTAGCTCCAGGGTCACTCTGAGCCCTCTAGTCCCAGTGATGGGTTAAATAGTTTGGCAGAATATGGTGGTTTGAATAAGAATGACCACCTATAGGTTCATGTATTTGAATGCTTAGTCATCAGGGAGTGGAATTCTTTGAAGGATTAGAAGGATGAGAAGGTTATGAACTTGGAGGAGGGGTGGGTTTTGAGATTTCAAAAGCTCAAGCCAGGGCCACTGTGTCTCTCTTCCCACTGCCTGCAAATCAGGATGTAGCTTTCAGTTCCTTCTCCCGTACCATGTCTGCCTGTGTGCTGCCATGTTCCCACCATGCTGATGATGGACCAAAGCTCTGAAACCATAAGCCATCCTCAATTAAATGCTTTCTTTTGCTTTGGTCATGGTGTCTCTTCAGAGCAGTAGAACAGTGACTATGACAACAGAGGAAATTTCAAGACAGGCTGACTTTTAGGCTGTGGCCGTAAGGCCTAGGTATGAGCCACCATGCCCAGTATTGTTCACATTCATCAGGCATGAGGCACAAGGCACATCTGGGAGGCTGAAGCAGGAGGATCATGGGGTTTGAGGCCATTTGGGCCATGTAGTGAGGTGAACTGAAGGAAAAGGAGAATGGAACAGCAGCGATAGCCCAGTGGTTAAGAGTACATCCGCTCTAACAGAGGCCAGAATCGGTTTCCAGCACCCATGTCAGGTGGCTCCAGGGAATTCAACACCCTCTTCTGGCCTCTATGGGTACTGCACACACACACACACACACACACACACACACACACACACACACACACACACACACACACTACAAATAACAAAAGCTTAAAAAGTAAAAAGGAGGTGAAAGAACGGGATAAGAGGATGGGGGAGGAAGGTAGTGAGGAATGAGGACAAATGGAGAAAACCACTCACTGACATTAGGGTGCTCACCTTGCATCTGATTGTCTTCTTATTTGAATGATACTGGTTTTTGAAATATAAGATAACATGAACTTTCTTGATATCAAATCCACAAATATCAGGTCCTAAAAAAAATTTAAGTGCTCTCAACTTTTTTCCAGACTGTATCAGCATACAAAACACTAAGCTAAGCATTGTCCTCCAACACAGGGAGCAAACATGTCTGTTCAGGGCACCAGAAGACACAGAAACAAAGGTCTAGTGACTGGTCCCCCCTGACAGTTACCTTGGCCCTAACTGTGAATCAGCGCACACTAGGAAACAAGTGTCCACTCCTGTGGTCATAGTGCTGGGAGAATGAGACAGAAAGACTGTCAATTCCAGCCTGGGTAGTATATCCAGCTCCTGACTCAAAGAGCAAAAGAATGAACTGGAGAGATGGCTCAGAAAGTGATGTCACTCACTGGTCCAGGCTGAGGATCTGAGCTCAGGTCCTGGAGACCACAAGATGGAGGGAGTACTTGTGGTGGTCAAAAGGAAGAGTCAGGTTCCTGGATCTGGAGTTACAGGTGACAATGAACCACCCTACTCTGTGCTGAGAGCTTAACTGGGGTCCTCCACAAGAGCAGAAAGAGCTGTTTCTCCAGCCTCCAAATAAATATATGTTCTTTAAAATGAGAAATACTCATTTTAATGTTTGAAGTAATTCAAATAAAAATTATTTAAAAGACTAAATAATTTTTTAGAAATAACAAAGAATTAAGGCATTTTATGCCGCTTTGTCTTTTTGCTTTTTGTTGTTTTGTTTTGGTTTTTTGAGACAGGGTTTCTCTGTGATATAGCTCTGGTTTGTCCTGGAACTCACTCTGTAGACCAGGCTGGCTTCGAACCCAGAGGTCCACCTGCCTCTGCATCCCAAGTGCCGGGATCAGAGGTGTGCATCACCACCTGGCCCTCAATTGCCATTTTATGCCTTTGAGACTGGGACCCTCACTGAGCAGGAAGCTGGTCCTTGGGCCAGCCTGAGGTGCTCTCAGGGTCTGCCTGAGACTGCAGGCATACACAGCCATGTCTGGCTTTCTACTTGGGTTTGGGGGATTTGGACTTGACTACAATTACCCCTTGAGCCATTACCCCAGTCTTTTATTTTCTATACTTTTGGAGGGGTTTGAGACAGGGTATCATTGTAGCCCAAGCTAGTCTCAAGCTCTGTAGCGAAAGATGACTTTGAACTACCTCTACCTCCCAAGAACAGCGGTGGTGCCTGCTGCTCTATGAGGTTCTGGCAATGGAGCCCAAGGCGTCTGCACACTAGGCAGGCATGCTAACAACTGAGCCCAGCCTCTGCCCACATTTGGAATCTTTCGAGCTTTACCACACTCTTAGAAGTGACCAGAATGTCCACCATGCTTTACCTGACAGTGTGCTTGTTTCAGAAGCCAGAGTTTGTCACTTTGGGACACACATGTGTTGACTTCACCTATCCAGTGTCCCCACTGAAATCCCAAACTTTATCACTGTTTTCAATCTCAGGGGCAATGTCATGTTATTTAGCCAGGCTAACATCATGTTCCCAATCCTCCTGCCTCCCCTCCTAGGTGCTAGGGAGGCAGGGTTTACCACCATGCCCCCAAAAAACAAATATACATACATATATTTTTTTATGTGTATGATGTTTGTTTATGTGTGTGAATACAGGTGTGTGGCTAGCTGTTTGTGGTCTCAGCACTCCACAAGTTTCAGGGCTGAGGTTGTAGCTCAGGGTCAGTGTCTACAAGTCTCTGGGTTTCACCACACAGGACCAGTGAGATGGCTCAGCAAGTTAAGGCACTTGCCATCAGGCTTGAAGGTCTGAATTCAAGTCCCAGAACTCAAACTGACTCAAAGCTACTGGAGCTGCAGAGATAGCTCGGCCATAAAGAGTGATGGCTGCTCTTGCATAGGACCAAGGTTCTATTCCCAGAATTCAAATGGTGGAACACAACCACCTGTAACTCCACTTCCAGGGGAACGGACAACCTTTTCTCATCTCCACAGTCATCTGCTTGTACATGCGGCACATGTGTCCACATAAAGTAAGTGAATAAATAAACATATTTTAACAGTCAGGTTTGGATTCAGAGCACTTTGGCTTTTTGATTCTTAGTCCTGAGAACACTCAGCCTGCATTGGCTGGTCTAACACTGCTACAAACCTTGGGTCGGAAGGGTTCAATACTGCTCAGTTAGTTGTGTCGGCAGAGCCTCAGGGTGATGCAAAACACTTGCCCTCCCTGGCTGAACTCACCAAACATGATGTAGTACTGAGACTTCCCATTCATATTCTTTTGGTCCAGGTCAGAAGGAAACACCTTGATGTAGCCACCACCGCAGTCCATCTTCTGCTCATGCTTCACTGTGTACTGGATCACCAGGGTCTTCCCTTTATTGCTGAATGGCTTGAAGCTGGCAGAGATGGCGTAGAATCTGCTGTTCTGGGTTGTCTGCAAGCCTTCCAACAGACAGAGCAAGATTAAGTCAAAACGACATTGTACTCAGCAACTTGCAGGGACCTCAAATTCATGCCCCCGGTGGCCCCAACAACAGAGACCCTGTTTGCACAGAGCAGTGACAGTGTGCACCAAGCACACCATTAACAAGGCCTCTGCTGCCCGGAAGCTGTGCTTCACACACCCAGATGCCAGTGAGGTGGCTCAGTTGGTGAAGGTACTTCCAGTCAAGCCTGATGACCTGAATTAGTTCCTTTGGGGGCCCATGTCATGGAAAGAGGGGCAACTTCCAAAAGCTGTCTTCTAATTTCTACATGGACATGACACTTGTGCTCCCACTACAGTATCACCTCTCTCTCTCTCTCTCTCTCTCTCTCTCTCTCTCTCTCTCTCTCTCACACACACACTTTACAAAAATACACTTGCTAGGTTTTTGTTGTTATTTGAGGTTTTTTTGTTTGTTTTGTTTTGTTTTTTGAGAGTCTCGTTTTGTAACCCTGGCTGACCTGACCACTATGTAGACCACACAGGCCTCAAACTCAGAGCTGCTTCTGGAGTGCTGGGATTAAAGGTGTATGCCACTACACCCACACACCTTTTGTTTTGTTTTGTTTTTTAATATTGGTTGCAGATGGAACACAGGACTTGGCACATGCTCAGCAATGGCTCTCTCTTTGGATCCCATCCTCAATCCCACTACTGCTATACTCTGCTATACTTTAGGCATACAGCTCAGTTGGAAGCTCAACTAGTGGGCATGAGTCCTGAGGCTCCATCCCCAGAACCATATCAAGTGGAGTGGTGGCAGACATATCTAAGCACTTGGGAGGAGACAGGAGGGTCAGCAGTTTGAGGTCAGCCTCAGCCACATGGCAGTTTGAGGCCAGCCTGGGCTACACGAAGTCACCTCAAAATCAACACAACAGGCTAGTAAGATGACTCAGCAGGTCAAGGTACTTGCTGCCAAGTCTGAGTGGGGTTCTCAGGACCCACATGGGGGACAGAGAGAACTGATTCTCACACATTGTCCTTTGACCTCCACATGTGTGTCTTAGCAAGTACATACACATACTTAAAAAGCAGGGGCTGGAGAGATGGCTGAGAATGTGAGAGGCCTCCCTGAAGTGGAGGCCAGAGAACCTGAGTTTCAGTCCCCCGCGCTCATTTAAAAAGCTAGATGTGGCTACACGCCTGTGACTTCATGCATGTGTAAGCATACATGGTGGAGGCAGGAGGGTGCTGGGATTCATTGGCCACTGCCCAGACTCCAGGCTCAGTAAGGGAATAAGGTGGAGAGTGACAGAGCAGGACACCAGGTGTCCTCTCTGGTCTCTTCAGTGCGGACACGTGTGCCTATACCACACACACACCTCTCACTACCTTAATGTTGGTGAGGCAAGAATATACAATGAAGGAAACAAAAACAAGACACTAATTTTTTTTTTTTTTGAGACAGGGTCTTATGTAGACCCTAGGTTAACCTAGGTAACCCTAGGTTAGCCTAAAACACCCCATTTAGCCAATTATCTTAGAGTTTCTGTTGCTGTGATAAATACCATGACCAAAAGGCACTTGAGGAGGAAAAAGGGTTTACTTAACCTTACCGTTCATAGTCCACCACGATGGGAAGTCGGAACAAGATCGTAGAGGCAGGAGCTGAACCATGGAGGAAAGCTGCCTACTGCCTTTCTCCCCATGGCTTAGCTCAACCTGCACTTTTTGTTTGTTTTGTTTTTTGAGAGACAGGGTTTCTCTCTGTAGCTTTGGAGTCTGTCCAGGAACTTACTTTGTATACTCGGTTGACCTTGAACTCAGAGATCTGCTTGCCTCTGTCTCCTGAGTATTGGGATTAAAGGTGTGTGCCACCAACCTGCACTCTTATAGACCCCAGGGGTGCTATTGTCCACAATGACTTCCCACATCAGTCACAAGGAAAAGGCCTCTCAGGCTCCTCTACAGGCCAATACTATTGAGGCATTCTTTCAATTGTGGGTCCATGGTCTTTGATGACCCAAGCTTACATCAGGTTGACATAATGCTGCCAGCACAGGAAAATGACCTTTGACTCCTCATCCTTGCGCCTTCACTGGCAGTGCTATGACAAGTGTTAGCCATAATGACCATTCCAGATGTGTTTATTTTCCCTTGTTACCTGAAGGCAGTTTAGCTTTACAGGTATATGTCATATCCTTACTCTCTGGGTGCTGAGGCAGGTGGATAGTGAATTTCAGGCCCATCAGGGATACATATTGAGATTTTATCTCAATAAATAAAAGCGGGAGCTGGAGAGATGGCTGAGCAGCTAGGAACGCTGGGTTTGATTCCCAGGAACCACATGGTGGTTCTGGACAACTTGTATCTCCAGTTCCAGAGCATCCAGTGCTCTCTTCTGATTTCTGCAGACACCACACAGTCGGTGCACAAACATACAGGCAGGCAAAACATTCTACACAAATAATTTAAGATATTAAAATCAAAATTAATGTCTAGTTGAAGTGGCTTGTGTCTTAAACCCCATAACTGGGGAGGTGGAGAAAGGCAGATCTCTGTGAGTTTGAAGCCAGACTGGTCTACACAGCAAGTCCAGGCTAGTGAGGGCTATATAGACTCTCAAAATAAACAGAACCAAAAACCAATAAAATCAAGCAACCAACCAAATAACCCCAAACTCCCCAAAATGAACTTGGTCTTTTCTTTCATGTTTTGATTTTTTTGTTTTGTTTTGTTTGAGACAGAGTCTCTCTACATAGAACTGGCTGTCCTAGATAGCTGCCTGCCTCTGTCTCCCATGTGCTAGGATCAAAGATGTACACCATCACACCTGGCTCTTTCAATTTTTAAAATAATTATTTATTTTGTATTGTGTTCGGATGAGGGTTGTATGTGTCCAGCACACATTTGAGGATCAGAGTACCACTTGTGAAAACCAGGTTTCTCTTCCAATTATATGGGTCCCAGGGTTCAAACCCAGGGAGTCAGGCTTGGTACCAAGCTCAACAGCCCAAACTTGCTGTTTATACACACATCTAAGCCTCAACTCCAAGATGGCTCCCCACCCCCATATGGGATTCAGAGCCCCATCCCACCTCTACTCCAGCAGCGAGGCAATCCCCCACTTCTGTGTCTAGGCATCCCATTCTCTCCTGCCACCTACCACCTGTCTAAATTCCTTGCATCTTTTCATCTGTGTCTGCTTAGTCATGGTTCCCAAAGACCATGCAGGGACTCCAGATTTCCAGAGCCCCAACCACCAGGCCTGGGCCACTGTTCTTACTAAACAGGGTTTGGCAGGACAGTAAAATCACAATGGGCAGACAGCAGCCACACCCTCTGGCTCACTTATGCCATAGCTGGCTCCTTCCATCCACTTCAGTCCTAAAGCTGGAGGGGTTTTGTTTCTGCTTTTAAAATTGTTGTATATTATTATTAGCACTTTTTTCTCCCTCTAAGACAGGGTCTTACTATTAATCCTGGCTGTTCTAGAATTCACTATGTAGACCAGGCTGGTCTCAAACTCAGAGAGCTCCCCCTACCTCTGCCTCCTGAGTGCTGGGATTAAAGGTGCCATCACCAGGCCAGCTTCTTGGAAAGAAAACTTTCCTCTTCCTTCCTCCTGCTGTCATCACACCCAGCTTCTGTAATGCTCAGGCTGTACATGCTACACAAGACTGAGCCCCAACCCCACTCTACATGGGGGGTATTTTAGATCCAGTGGGTCAATGGGTCTCTGTCTGCCTCAATTCTTTGACTACTTTGTAACAGCCAAGGGCTATGTAAATGAGCAGCTGTGACTGTGTTTCATCACTGTGTTTCATCTGGCATTGCAGATATTTCAATGAAAATGTCCCAGCATAGTGACTCACAGCTGTGAACCAGGTGGGGCTGGCTGAGGCAGAAGGCTGTGCAATACCAGGCAAGGCCAGGCTTTCTAGAGAGAACCCGTCTCAGATAAATCAACTTTTTTTTTTTTTCTCCAGACAAGCTCTTGAGTATCCCAGATTGTCCTTGAACTTGCTATGTAGCTAAGGATAACCTTTTAATCCTCCTGCTAATTCCTATTTTGCTTATCTATTTATTATTTATTTATTTATTTATTCTTAGAGACAGGGTTTTCTTTTATTTGTTTTCGATAGGGTTTCTCTGTGTAGCTATGGCTGTTCTGGAACTCACTCTGTACACCAGACTGGCCTCGAACTCACAGAGATCTGTCTGCCTCCCTAGTGCTGGGATTAAAGGCATCCAGCTAAAGCTAAAGCTAAAGCCAGTTATGGTGATGCATGCCTTTAATCTTGGCACTCAGGAGGCAGAGGCAGGGGCAGGCAGATCTGAGTCAGTCCCAGGGCAACAAAGGAAGACCCTATTTCAAGAAAATAAATTAAAAAAAAATTGTTTTGTGGTGCTGGAGCATGTGTCAAAGTTAGAGGGCAATTTGTAGGTACAGATTCTCTCCTTCCACCCTGTGGGTTCTGGGGTTCAAACTCAGGTCATGAAGCTACAGGCTCCTTTACCTGCTGACCCATCTTGCTGGGCCCATTTTTCATTTTGATTGTCCCCTTTTTTATTTTGAGACAAGAGATGGCTATATCTTAGGCTGGCCCAGAGCTCACTAAATAGTCAGGCTGTTCTTGAACTTCCTCATAGTGTGTGCCACAGTCTTGTTCTAATGCTCATGAAGTGAGGTGATCTTGGGCTATTACTGAAAAAAGGTCAAAACGGTCGTTCTTGTTGGTCCAGTTGTCATCCCAGGACTCAGGAAGACTCCTGAGCACCTTGGCTGTCAGTCCCCCCAAACATAAATAGGATACATAAAAAGGAACCAGTACTTAGAGGACTACTGGGAGTTAGGCCCATTTTGGGCTACATGAGGCTGTCTCAAAAACTAAAACTAAAACCAAAATATCCCCAACCGTTTTTTGTTTTGTTTTGTTTTGTTTTTCTTTTGGAGACAGGGTTCTCTGGGTAGTTTTGGAGTCTGTCCTAGAACTCACGCTGTAGATCAGGCTGGCCTCGAACTCACAGAGAGCCACCTACATCTGGGATTAAAGATGTGTGCCAGCACTGCCTGGCTTCCCACCCAACCTTAAACTAAAGGAAACGTAAACAAGGTAGGGCAGAGCCTGCATGTGTCTCAGTAGTCTGGCTTGAATGTGCTGTCAGGGTGCTGTGCGGCTTTCCAACTCCACTCTATTTGCTCCGGATTCTACACTAACCTTTGTCTTTCTCTACATGCCCATAGAACTTCCCCGATGAAACTCTGAAGTGGCCGAACTGGGAGTCATTGGTGGACTGCACCCAGCGGTTCCTCCAGCGCTCTGTGGGGAGACAGGAGGGTTAGCCCGCAAGTGCTTAGGATCAGAAGCACAGCCGATGGACAAGACCTCCACCCACCACGACCATCGCTTTCACCTCCGTCTAGAAACTCCTCCTGGAAGTACACAGTGGCCAGTGCCACGCGCAGCACACAGATGACCCAGAGCGACACGCGAGCCCGGGCCATGGCTGCATGAGCGACTCCTGCTCTTCTGCTCTCAGGCGTCTGCCCTGCTCACCGGGCGCGACCCAGAAACTACAACTCCCGTCATGCCTCGCGATTGTGACCTAGGGCCCCCTGAGTGAGCACGCTGGAACTACCGCTCCCGTGACGCCCCGCGATTGTGACCTGAGGGGCTCATTGGTGGGCGGAGCGCGGTGTCCGATGGAAGATGTAGTCTTCCACGGAACTGGGGCGGTCTCCTGGGGCAACAGCCGCCCCGGGCCTTTGCTTTGCGGCCGAAGCCCAGCGCTGTCGTAGCGGGAAGAGACCAACGCTGCTACTGAGGTGACCTCACAGTGAGCATCTGGGTTCGCGGGTAGTGCGGGGAAAGGACTTCCATTCCCGTGCCTCAGTTTCCCTATCTGGAGGGTGCCAGAGCGTGATCCCGTAGGGCTTGCTCAAAAAGGCGAGGAAACTGAGTGGCGGCCGTGTATAATGCTTAGTTCCTTTACTTTGTGTTTGTTTGTTTTTAGTAACTTATTTAACTTTATTTTATGGGCATTGGTGTGAAGGTGTCAGATCCCCTAGAACTCGAGTTACAGAATTGAACCCTGGTCCTCTGGAAGAGCAGCCGAGGCTCTTAAACCGCGGAGCCATCTCTCCAGTCCCCACTTTGTGTGTTTTGTTAGTTGGTTGAGACCGCGTCTCTGGTAGCCCAGGCCGGCCTGGAGCTCCCTATGTAGCTGAGGCTGGCCTTCAATTCCTGATCTTACTGCAGCACTTTAGGAGTGCTGAGATTGCGGTCATGTCATCCTCCCCTCTGCTCATGAATATATAAAACTTTTTAAAAGTATATACAATTACTTTTTGTTTTTTACATTTATTCATTTGTTTTGTCAGAGAACAAATTGCAGGAATCAGTTCTCTCCTTCGACTATATGGGTTCTCAGAATAAACTCAGGTGGTTGTGGGCAAGGACCGAGCCAGAACCCTTCTCCTCCCTGTTTTACAAGTTGAGTAGTATCCTATCCTCTGCATTCATTCCCTGCTCCTCGGTTCACAGTAGTTGGTGAATATCTGGATTGTTTCCCAGTTTTGTATTTTGTGAATGATCTATGCAAATGTGCATACATTTCCTTTTCACTTGGGGCCCTTTGGAGTGGCTCACATAGTAACTCCGAGTTTATTGCCCTGTATCTGTTTCTTTCTTTTTCCCTTTATTATTGTGTATGGGGACTGTGTTCAGACTCAGTGTGATTTTGTGCCACATGGGAGCTTTGGAATGGAGGAGAGGAGCATAAGGGAATCTCTTTTGCTGGGCCAGTGCGATGGCACAGTGGGAAGGTATGAAGGGGAACCAAATGTTCTGTTTGTCTTCTGACCTCCACAGGTGTGAACACACTCACACACTAAATAATATGCAATCAATTGGTAATTTTTTTTTTTTGAAGAGAAGCTGGAGAGATGGCTCCATGGTTAAGAGCACTGGCTGCTCTTGCAGACAACTTGAGTTCAATTCCCAGCACCCACCTGGTGGTTCCTAGCACCCACATGGTCTGTAACTCCACTTGAAGGGATCTGACACCTCTTCTGGCCTCTGAGGGCTTGAGGGCTCCTTCATGAACAGGGTGCACAAACATGCACTTAAGCACACACACACACACACACACACACACACACACATCCACATAAATTTGTTGTTTTGGGTTTTGGCTTTTTTTTTTTTTTTTTTTTTTTTTTTTTTTTTTGAGATGGGGTCTCCTTACATAGTTCTGGCTGGCTGAACAATTGCTGGCTGGCAAAGAAGGGAAGGTAGCAGATTTCTGAAGAAGAATGAGACAGCCATTGAAGCTAGGTAGGTCCCGGAGGCCAGCAGTGAGAAAAAGGAAACACGTTCCATTGTCCAGGTTGGTCATAGAGATCCACCTGCCTCTGCCTACTGAATGCTGAGGTTAAAGGTATGTGTCATCACAGCTGACTAAAAGAAATACTTTAATCCCAGCAGAGGCAGGCAGATCTCTGAGTTTGAGGCCAGCCTGGATGGTCTACAGTGAGTTCCAGGACAGCCAGAGCTACACAGAGAAACAGTCTTGGAAAAGAAAAGTGAAACAAACAAATAAATAAATGAATAAAATACTTTTAAAAACTAAAAATACAATCTTTTCCTAGAATGGCTTCCACAAGAAGGTCCATTGGCCCTCCTCATGGTGTTTTTGACTTCAGTGATATGTTCTTAGAGGACTCAAGGATGGAAGATGTAAAAAACATACACGCCCAAAGTCTTGGCCAAGTGACACCAGGGGAGAACCGAATCCTAAAGAGAAACCAAAGGATGGATGAGAAATATTCAATGTTGAGCCCCCCCACCATCTCCTCTAAAACCAGAGCCAATGAGGCCCTTAGGAAGCTGGCCCAGATTGAAACCAAGATCCGGAGTCGGAAGCAGGTGCCCACGGCTTTGTCTGACACAGAGTCTGACTCGAAAACCACAGAGCTGCATCTTCAGAAGGGGACAGATACAGCATCTGCAGTTTCTTCTCAACATCCACACAGAACCTTCCAAAAACAAGCCTGTAAAACCCCCATGGCAAAGAGCGATGGGCAAAGTGGGAAAGGTAGCAGGTTTCTTAAGAAGAAAGAGCCACCCATTGTGTCCCTGGTATCCACAGTGGAGAAAGGGAAGCATGTCCCACTACCCAAACAGAAAGAACGTGCTAGAAAATGTGATGCTCTCGACAGTGATGAAGAAGAAATGAAAATATTGCTTGGAAGCTTGATGGACTCTTCTAGAGAAAAAGAAACAAATAGGAATGGAGGGCTCACTAGCACCAAAGGCAATAGGATTGATCATGGAAAATTGTCTTTGGTAAGGTTTTCTTTTGTTGGTTTCAATGTTTTAGAGGTTTTGTGTGTGTGTGTGTGTGTATGATTCTGGGGATGGAACCCGGGGCTTTGCAAGTCCTGAGCAAATGGTTGGCTAGTGAGCTACACCCCAGAGACCCCCTCATTTATGCATATATGTGCATCTGTATTGTGATGCCCCACATGTGCATAGGTGCCTATAGAGACAGACAGAGAGGGTTTTGGGGCAACCTGATGTGGGTGCTGGGAACCAAACTCAGGTTCCCTTCAAGAGAGAGCAGCAAGTGCTTTGTCCTAGTTAGTTTTTTTTTTTTTAATCATTTATTTTTATTTTATGTGCATTGGTGTTTTGCCATGGGTGTTGGGTCCCCTGGAACTGGAGTTAGAGACAGCTGTGAGCTGCCATGTAGGTTCTGGGAATTGAACCCAGGTCCTCTGGAAAAGCAGTCATTGCTCTTAACCACTGAGCCTTCTCTCCAGACCTTGTCTTAGTTAGTTTTAATTGACAGCTTGACACATCCAGCAGCTACCTGGGAAGGGAGGAGTCCAATCGGATTGCCCACATCAAATGGGCCTACCACTGGGTTTTGAGGAATTGTCTTGATTATTTATTGATGTGGAGGGCTCAGCCCAGTGTGAACTGGAGGTGTCTGAGTACCAGCCAGTGGGAACGAGCTGTTGTGTGACACCATCAACGGGGAGATGTGAATAGACATCTCAGTCCAGGGGGTCCAGTGACAAATGTAGGTACAACCAGAACCTAAGTCCAACCTGGAGAATGAATGAGCTTATTGGGGACACTTACAGAAGCAGAAGTGGCTAAAAGATAGCTGATGACCAGAGCCCACCCCAGAGTGTGTGACAACTCACAGTTGTAAATACAAATGCTGGGCAGCATTTTGGCCATAGCTCTTGATTTCCTCATTTGGTCACATCCTTTACCAAAGCCACAGCTCTCAAGCCGGATTTCACCCCCCATCCCTCCACCCCCGGTTTTATGTAAGTTCAAAGTAGCAGTTATGAGTGTCCTCTGTGGAGGGGCCTTAAGTCCAGTCAGGAAGCAGGAAGCAGTTTCTACCTTTGACCACTTGTGCCACTGACTCAACAGCTGGCAAGTCTTGCTGGCACTGCCATCGTAAGCATGAGGACCTACCTTGGGTCATGCTCCTCCTAGTGCCCTGAGTGCTGCTTTGTGGCCCTACAGGAGTGAGTCCACTTGGAGGGGACAGTTTATTTTTGTTTGTTTGTTTTTAATTGAGACAGGGTCTCTATGTAGCCCTGGCTGCCCTGGAATTAGCAGTGTAGACCAGGCTGGCCTCGAACTTACAAAGATCTTCCTGCCTCTGCCTCTTGAGCACTGCTTTAATAGGTGTGCATCTGGCAGGTACACTTTTGCTCAGTCCTGGCCTAACATGTCCAAGTCTTGCAACCAAAGCCTGTGACATCTTCAGCAGCTCAGCTTCCCCATCCAGTCTTTCAGTGTGAGTAACAGCTATGACAATTGTTTTAGGGGCCTTCCTAGGGAGGTCACCTGCCCCACCCAGCACTGGGACTTTCACAACCTTACTGCTCTCACAAGGCCCCCTTGTTCACTTTGTCACATGTGCAGGATGTTTTCTCCGTCTCCTTGTGGGTGCCAGCCACATCTCCTGGGGTCACAGCTCTGCAGGGTTGTGTGTGCCCTTTGTGGGTGGCTTCTGCCCCTGCTTCAGGTGCTCTCCCTCGTGTCTCATGCAGGACTCTGACTATATGCAGGACACACATGTGTTAGTCGTGTATTCTCTATGGAGCAAAAACCTCTTACAGAGGACAACACACTAGTTGTATGAGCAACTATTGCAGAAGTGTAGTTGAAGACATAAGCTGAAGCACTTTGGAAGTCCCTGGCATCTGTTCTGAGCAAGTGTCAAGTGTTTGTCACTCAGGGAGACCCTGGAGCAGCTCAGCTCAGGAAGGCTCTAGCCATTGCTTTGTTACCTTCTGGCTCCTCTGGGGTTCTTTCAAAAGGCCTCCATCTGTTTTGCTCACCCCCATGGGCTGGATGGGAATGCCTCTAAATGGGACCCATGGGGTTGCTGTTGCCCTCCTATGCTGGGTGAGGAATCCGAACCCAGGAGATCCACCTGCCTCAGCCATGCCCAACCCCATCGTCATCTAAATGAGTACCTGACTTCCAGAAATGGCTGATCAGAGAGAAGTGTGTGGGTGTGGCATGTGTGTATGTGTGGAAGCCAGATGTCAATCTTGGCTGTCCTTCCTCAGCTACTGTCCAGACAAGGTCTTATTGGCCTGGGGCTCACTGCTGAGCCCAGGCTGACTGGCCAGTGAACCCCACGGATCCGTGGGTGCCAGCCTCCCCAGTGCTGGAATGAAAAGTATACACCTCCATACCTACATTTCAGGGTTCAAATTCATGTCTTTGTGCTCACATGGCAGATAGGTACCTCACTTAGCCATTGTCCCTTAGATTCTTTTTGTTTTGTTTTGTTTTTTGAAACAGGGTTTCTCTGTATTGTTTTGGAGGCTGTCCTGGAACTCACTCTGTAGACCAGGCTGGCTTTGAACTCACAGAGATCCTCCTGCCTCTGCCTCTGCCTCCTAAATGCTGGGATTAAAGGTGTGCACCACCAATGTCTAACTTTAGAGTAGATTTTTTAAAACATTTATCTATTTGCGAGTGTGTGTGTGTGTGTGTGTGTGTGTGTGTGTATGTGTGTGCGCGCGCGCGTGTGCATGCACAACTTTGTGTGTGTGTACATGGAACTGAGAGGACATCTCACCAAGGTTCATTCACTTCTGTCCACTATGTGGGTCACAGGGATTGAACTCAAACATTCAGACTTGACATCAAGTGCCTTTGCTCCCTGAGCCATCTTGCTGGCTGAGTCACCCACCCACTAGTGGCTCTGTGGGATGGTAAGAGTTTATGTGATTTAAATTTGGTAACCAGTCCTTTTCATAAAGTAGGATCAGACTCCAACTCAGCCAGGAGTCCCGTCTCTGCTCAGTGTGGACTGTTCCAGCTCAAAGCCTTCTCGTCCCTCACATCGGCTGGACTCCCCATGGATTCTCAATGCTGGAGACACAGCCTCCCTTACATCCTCGCCTTCCATTACAAATGACCTTTCAAAATCAGAATTTTCAAAGATGGGATGCATCAAGCTGGCTTCCTCCCCCAGCAGGAGCGAGGGGAGGTCTTCAGAGGATCCAGTCTCAGAAGCTGCTGCTGATAGCCTCCATGGTAACCCATCACTTTGGGGGAAAGGGTGAGGCTAGCGTCAGTGTGCCCAGTCTACTACCCCAAGGTATTGCTTGTGGGCAGTGGGTGCGGAGGGGGTGCAGGGCTGGGTAAACTGCCAGTCAGTTGAAATCATCCTTTTGATGCTTCTGGAGCAGCATTGTAGAGACTGTGGCTGATACAATACACAACCCTTGTTTTATTGAGATAATAGCTTGCCTCGGTCCCTCATTTATCTGTCCTTATATCTCTACCACTGAGCCCTAGGTCTGAGTCTGTTCTTTTCACCTAGCCAAGTCTTGGTCAGAGAAAGGGAAACACACTCAAAAGCTATGGGTGTTGCTGGGGAGACAGCTCAGTAGCTAAGAGCACTGGCTGCTCTTGCAGAGGACCCAGGTTTAGTTCTTAGCACTCATTTGGTGCTCACAACTGCCTGTAACTGTAGTTTCAGGGGATCTGATTTCCTCTTCTGGACTCTGCAGGCATTAGATGCATGTGCTACACATACAAAATCCAAAAAAGAAAATTAAAAGGTATGGGTGTTGTTAGACGTGGTGGTGCCCATCTGTCTTCTTAGCAGGGGAAGGGGAGCTAGGTGGAGATAGGAGGGCCATCCTCGGATGCCTACCGAGTTTGACACCCACCTGTGTTATATGGGACCCTGTCTCAAAAACTCCCTTAGTTACTTATTTAATAAGTTAATTTAGCAGTGCTGGGCATTGAACTCAGGGCTAATGCATACTAGGGAAGTGCTATACCTCTGAGCTACAGCCCAAGCTGGATAATTCAGAGAGCAGAGGTTGACCTGGCAGGGGAACCCTCTGCAGGCTGCATGGCATGGCGGGGTGTCTTGCTGCGTCAGCACTGGGTGGAATGAGGAAGGGTAGGAAATGCTTCTGTTGAGGGACCTTGACGGACAGAACTGACATTTTGATAGATGGCTGTATTTTCTACTTCACTACGTTTGTAGTTTTGTTTTTTGACAATCTTATACACATGTGCAGTGCATTCTGGGAGCATCTCCCCACCCATCAATCCCTCTCCCAGATTCATGACTTTGGGCTTTTGAGACAGGATCTCTCAACATAACCTGGCTGTCCTAGAACTCATTATGTAGACCAGGCTCACCTTGAATTCACAGAGATCCATCCACCTGCCTCAGTTTCCTGAGTGCTGGAATTAAAACTCGTGTACTGTCATGCCTGGCTTTACTTTCCTTAAAAAATTTACTTATTTATGCATTTTATGTATATGGGTACAATGTCTGCATGTCCATCTGTACACTAGAAGCTATTACCAATGGTTGTGAGCTGCCATGTGGGTGCTGGGAATTGAACTCACCTCCTCTGGAAGAGCAGTCAGTGCTCTTAACCACTGATCCACCTCTTCAGCCTCTGGCTTCTTTTTCTTTATTGTATGATATGTGAGGGAGCCCATGGTGCCCATGTGGACTTAAGGACAACTAGCAAGTCAGCTGTCTCCTTTCGCCCCATGTGGGTCCCAGAGATTGAACTCCCGACTGTCAGGCTTGGCTGTAAGCACCTTTCCCTGCTGAGCTGTCTCACCTACAGTGCATTTATTTTTTAATTACAGATTTTAGAATTAATATTTTGTCCATTGATGATCTGGTTCTGGCTGATGGAGAGAAGTCAGATGTGGAACAGAAAGTAAGTATTATTGTATCAGTTTTCCTTTTTTATTGTTATAAATTAAAGACAGGATCTCACTATTGACCAGCCCAGAGCTCCCTCTATCAGACTGGCTGCAAACTATCAGAAATCCGCCTGCCTCTGCCTCCCCAGTGCTGGGGTTAAAGGTGTACCCCACACATTTCCTCATTTTGTGTGCATGTGTGTGCACACTTGTGCACCACATCCCACACACAGGTCAGAGGATAAGATTGGTCCTCTTCCACCCTGTGAGTCCTGGGGATGGAACACAGACTACCAAGTGCCTTTCTCACTTGAGCTATCACAACAGCCCTTATTTACTTTTTTTTGCAGTTTTGGGGACAGACCCAGGGTAAAGCTGGGCAAGCTCTGCCACAGCAGTCCTGTCCCTCAGTGACATTAGCAACATTTAGGGACCTGTTGGTTGACTTTGGGGCACCAGCATCTGTAGGGGTGGATGCCAGGGAGACTGCTCACTGTCCTGCAGTGGTCACCAATCCAAATAATCTTCTGGCTCCTATCTCTAGAGTTCTACAGCTTATTCATTGGATGGTAGTGTACACCTTTAATCCCAGCACTCAGGAGGCAGAGGTAGATGGATCTCTTTGAGTTCTAGGGAGGCCTGGTATACAGAGTGAGTTCCAGGACAGCCAGGGCTACACAGAGAAACTCTTGTCTTGAAAAAGAAAACAAAAAACAAACGAGAGAGAGAGAGAGAGAGAGAGAGGGAGAGAGAGAGAGAGAGAGAGAGAGAGAGAGAGAGGAGAGAGAGACTAAGTCCAGAAGGAACCCATGGGCTGGAAAGATGCTCAGCAGGTAAATGTTCCTGCCTCCAAGCCTGACAACCTGAGTTCAGCCCATAGTTCTCATTGATTCCTGTCTTTGTCCTCGGACTGTCACACATGCTTACACATGCACACACACTAAATAACATGCATGCTCTCAAATGGCATCTTATTATTGGCCTTGCATCTGTGATGGACAGCAAACAGCATCAGCATAAGGGCTTTAAGGAGGGCTGAGGCCTGGAACAGGAGCTGGAGGCAGCTGGTCACACCACATCTTAGTCAGGTGCCCAGTTCCCTTTCTGTTTTTAATTCAGTCTAGATAGACCCTGCCCACAGGTACTGCCCATCATAGGCATGCCCAGAGGGCTGTTTCCATAGTAATCCTTGTTAAGATGAGCTACTGCAAATTCCAGTTCCAGACCATGGGATGCATGATACCTTGTCTGTCTTAGTCACTGTCCTATTGTTGTGAAGACACAGCATGACCACGGCATCTCTTATAATGGGAAATTAATTGGCAGCTTGCTCACAGTTTAGGCTTGCTTATGTTACCATCACGGTGGGAAGCATGGGGAATGAAGGCAGGCACTAGAGCAGTAGCTGAGAGGTGCATCCAGAATCATAGGCGGAGGGAGAAACTCTCTGGAGCTTCTTTTTCGTTTTGTTTTTCCAGGGCAGGGTTTCTCTGTGCAGCCCTGGCTGTCCTGGAACTCGCTCTGTAGACCAGGATGGCCTTGAGCTCACAGAGATCCTCTTGCCTCTGCCTCCTGAGTGCTGGAAATAAAGTCATGCTCCACTACCACCTGGCTAGAAAAAAAGGTTTTTTTGTTTGTTTTTTTGAGACAGGGTTTCTCTGTATAGCTTTGGAGCCTATCTTGGCACTCACTCTGTAGACCAGGCTGGCCTCAAACTCACAGAGATCTGCCTGCCTCTGCCTCCTGAGTGTTGGGATTAAAGGCATGAGCCACCACTGCCCAGCCTAGAAAAATACTTTTCTTTTCTTTGGGGAGATCAGGACAAGGTCTCACTCTGTCTGGTCTGACCTTAAAACTAGTCATTCCTCCTGCTTCTGTGTTCCAAGTGATGAGATCACAAGGTCTTATGTAGTCCAGGCTGGCCTTCAACTCACTGTACAGCTAAGGCTGGTCTTATACTCCTGATTCTTCTCCAAGTGCTGGGATTAAAGATGTGTACTGCTCTGCCTGGATTACTTCCTGTATTTCTGAGAGAGGGTCTTGTTGTAAAGTGCAGGCTAGCCTAGAATTTATGGTCCCCTGGAGAATTCTGGGTCATGGATGTATGCTGCTATGCCTGGCTGAAGAGGCATTGTTTCAGCTTTCTAAAATCCCCTTTGGCTCTACTGCTATTGTTCCTTTTAGGAGGAAGGTTCTGGAAGGGAAGGGATGTCAGGCAGAAGCTCTCCACCCACGTCATCCACTGGACTGAAAGAACAGAGGGCTGCCCAGCACAAGAGCTCTGCATTTCAGGGCACAGCCACCATGGTTGCTGATGAGGAGGGCCTTACCACTGAGGTCTCAGAGCATCTGGCTGACAGCTCTGCTGAAACTATCCATTCTCACAGTGTGTCCAGCATGCAGTCTGTGGAGGCTCTCACTGCACTCACAGACAGCCCAGCTTACTCTGAGGATTTCGAGCCATTCTCTGGATTCTTGGCCTCAGAGGCATCACTCTGCAGGACATGGGATACTCGGTCACAGTTTTCTGCCAGTGGGAGGACAGATCTTCTTCCTAGTCAATCCCTATCGAGGACAAAATGGAGCCAAGGTGTGACTAGAGTTGTGAAGGAGACAGCTGTGCAGACACTTGACCCTGCCTTTGCCTACCAGTGGAGCAAGGGTGAGTGAGTGAGGGGCCTATGGGAACCCAGGGCCCATGTGATGCTGCAGTGTCTTTGGGAGTGGGCGGAAAAGGACAGGTTCACCAATTTAGGCTTGTCATTAACCAATTTTTGGGGTGGATCCTGGCACCCTGTTTCTTCTTCCCAGGACAAGGAGGTAGCAGCTAGGCTGTTTCTGGTAACTTCCCAGCTCTGAAACTTAAGTTTCAGAAACAAAGGCTAAGTTCAGACTCTGGAAAGACAGTGAAGTCTGTGGACATTCAGGATGCCACCACTGTCTTAAGTGTTCCCAGTGCCCAGAAGCCTGCTACGGGAAGGGTACAGGATGATACCCACCCACCAACCTGTCTGCAAACCCTTACACCCAGGTCCTCACTAGGTGCAGTGCAGACTGCACAGTTTCCAAGGGCTGCCATGCGTCTGACCTCAGAGGCCAGCATATTCTGTCATGCCCACTGGGACTTTCCAGATGTTCCTCTCTTTTCCAGCTGTGGTCTCAAGCTCCTCCTTTTCTTCCCAGCATTGCTCTGGACCTTTTCCTTAGTCAGCTGCAAGCAGGATGAATGTGCTGCTCCCAGGGAGGGAGGGCTGCAGTTTTCAACTGATGATTCTGAATTTGGGCTTCACTGTACCTTAGCCTTGCTTGACCCTGTTGCAGTCAGGGGCCTTCAGCTGTTCTTCTGAGGGGAAGGAGCATCAGTGACCAATTGGCCATTGGAAGATGTTCCTTGCTTTGTGCGTGCACACACACGTATGCAAGCATGTATGTATGTATGTCTTTTAGGAATTTTTGTTTTTTGAGGCAAGGGTCTCATGTGATCTAGGTTGGCTTCAAACTAGACATGTAACTGAAGATGACCCTGAACTGATCTCCTGCCTCAGCTTTCTGAGCACTGGGATGATAGGCGTGTGCACCACTCATGGTGCAGGGAATGGACTCTTTGAGGACTGAGCCACACCCCAGCCTGTCTTGGGGAAAACCTGAATTAGCTTTTAAAGTCAACAGTGGGGATTTGGAAGGTGCTGTGTGGCCAGGTGCTGGGCTTGCAAACATGAGGATCAAGGTCTGGAACTCCAGAACAAATGTAAATGCCAGGTAGTTGTAGAGGCCCACCTGTCATTCCAGCCCCAGAAGGCTGAGTGTGGACCCAGAATAAAGTGGGCATATATGGGGATCCTGATGTCAGTGTCAGTCTGCGCGTGCGCGCGCACGCGTGCACACACACACACACACACACACACACACACACACACACACACGCTTCCGGCAACGCACACAGACAAAGTAGACAAAAACAACATAAAACTGCCTATGCACATATGGTCCTGGATACCAAGAGGATGAGGCAGGAAGATTTCTAGAGCCCAGAAGCTCAAAGCAAACTTGGGTACCATGGTTTCCAAACTCATTTTCAACCAACCAGTAAGCAGTCCAGCTTAGTTCATTGACCTTGTACTGGAGCCCTTGTACCACAGTCAACAGCCTGTCTTTTTCTTGGGTCAGCTGGTGGCATGGCGGCCATCGGCCCCACCCTCGGAGGCGCCTATGTGGACCCAGCACCCATCGCCAGTCACATTGTCAGTGCTGATGCTATAGAAGGTAAGAGACAGCTGGGGCCTCAATCTGTCCCTCCAGGGCCCAGCCATTCCTGCAGCATGCAACTGGCTCTCTGAAGGTGGCTTTGCAGAGTCCTGAGGGAGGGTGTTGTTTGCAGCTGATAGGCTCTTGTTGGACAGCCTGAGGGTGGTTGGAACCAAACCCAGGAGTCTGGAAGTAACTCATTGGTGGTCAGCTCATCAGAGGAGCCGAATCCATTCCAGCCCTGTCAGAAGGTCACTGTTGGGTCATTTTGCCCAACTCCAGTTTTGTTGTTCCCTTTTAAGGGAACTTGTAATGCTAACCCTGTAATCAATGAATGCTACTTGGGCAGCTGAAGTAGGGGGGATCACTTGAATACCCTGTCTCTTAAAAAACAAAACATTCTATCTATGTCTTTGAGGGTGGAGTTGGGGGTAGGGAGTGTAGGGTTTCAGTACATAGCTCAGGCTGGCTTGGAGCTCCAGATCCTAACACCTCATACTCCTGTTTGAATGATAAGACACGTTACACCATGCCCAGCTAAAGGTTTATCTTGACCTTTAGTGAAGCTAATGTATGATTATTGTGTGTGGCTAATATAGAATGGCTCACAGGAACAGCTTCATTGCTGGGAGGGGCAGACTGGCCAGAAAGCAGCAGGTCTGCAGAGTCTGGACGGGGAGTGGGGTGGGCTGCATAGGTGGCACCTGCAGGATCCATGTGGCACTGGAGAGCCACTGAGTGACCGAAAGTGGGTGCAGCCCTGACAGCCTACAGCCCTGCGGTGTTGGCACTGAATGACATGCTGAAGCAACAGCTGAGCCTGACACAGCAGTTCATCGAGGCCAGCCGCCATCTGCACGTGTCCCTCCTGCAGTCCCTGGACAGGGACTCATTTCACTACCACACCCTGGAGGAAACCAAAGAGGTAACTGGTGCATAGCTGCATCTTCCAGCTCTGAGAAGGGGGGAGTCATCAGAGATGACCTGAGGCTGGCCATGGGCCTGGGGTGTCCATATTCTCAGGTTGGGGCTCCACACACATCTCACTCTGAACAGGAATGGCTCCTGTGCTCTTCCAGACCAGACAGGCTGCGGCTGCTTGTTTCTTGGGCTAAACTACTTTCTTTTCCTTTTTTTAGTGGATACAGGGTTTCTCTGTGTTGCTCTGGCTGTCCTGGAACTTACTCTATAGACCAGGCTGTCCTCGAACTCAGATCTGCCTGTCTCTGCCTCCTGAGTGCTGGGATTAAAGGTGTGCGCCACCACTCAGCTGATTTTTGAGCATGTATGTTGCTGTGCTGTGCCGTGCACGCACGCGCGTGTGTGAGTACCACGTGTGCCTGGTGTCCTAGGATCTCAGAAGAGGACATTAAATCCCCTAGAACTAGAATTACAGGCAGTTGTGAATCACCATGCTGGGAACCAAACCCAGGTCCTTTTCAAAATTAAGCCACCAGTGCTCTCAGCCACTGAGCCATCTGTCCAGCTGTTTTTTCATAGGGTCTCACTTTTTTGGGGAAGAGGTTCGAGGCAGGGTTTCTCTGTAGGTCTGGCTGTCCTCGAACTCAGATTCACCTGCCTGTCTCCTGAGTGCTGGGATTAAAGGCGTGTATCACTGCCACCTGGCAGGGTCTTACTCTTGTAGCCTAGGCTGGCCTCAGAGACAAATGGCAAGGCCGCTGCCTCGGCCTCCCTCCAAAGTGCAGGCATACACCACCATATCCAGTTTCATTTGGTCAGAGGACAGCTGACAGGAATTGAGTATGTCCTTCCATGTAGATCCTGGGGATTGAGGTCAGGTCATCAGGCCTAGCAGCAAGTGCTGTTACCCCACTTAGCTATCTTGCAGGATCTACATTACTTTTGATGGTTCTTGTTGTATAGTAAGGCTGGCCTAGAACCTTTATATTCCCCAGCCTCAGCCTCTCAAATGCTAGGATCACAGGTGTGTTCCACCACCATGCCAAGTTCACAATGAGATGTTTGATGTGGTATCTTCTCAGTCTCTTCCCTAAAACTGATTCCCCAATCTGACCTTGTCACCCAGACCCAGTGTCGTTCTTCACTACAGGACATCTCGAGTGTAGCACCTTGGGGCACTCTGTCTCCCAGGCTAAGGCCCAGTATCAGTTTCCTGGGTGCCTGCACCCATCATTTTACCATCCTGTGTCCTACAGTACATTAGGTGTCACAGGCCCACACCCCTGACTATGGAGGCTGCCCTTCAGGAGGCGAAGGAGGAGCTTCAATTTCCAGCAGGTGAGGCTTACCTGGTCTCCCCCACCTCAATCATGTGGGGGCAGGCAAGGCTAGGGATCTCCCAGGTAATCCCTGCTCAGTAACAACCATATACGGATTCTAAGCCCCCATCTGCACAGCTGGCTACTATGCAGACACATCATGAGGACTGCTGAGGACCTGCTACAGGCCACTCACAGCAGGATGGAGCCATGAGTCAGCGCAATAGGCAGCACATGCGGGGCGTCTGGAGCCAAGAGAGGACCAGCTGCCCTATGAGGGAACATCCTATGCCAGGTGCTGGGCGAGACAGGTCTTTTGAGCGTGGTGTCTGACACAGCCTGCATCCACCCCCAAGCAGCCTGGGCCATGCCCATGTGCACACCTCATCCACAGCTGGATGAAGTGATCTTTTACAAAATGCTTTATTTGAAGGCAAAACAGTAAAATCCACAATCAGTTGTTAACAGCACATGTGTCTGCTTGTTTATCCCAAGTCAAACATGTCTGCACACATCACAGCTATGGGAAATCTAAAACAAAAAAAGTCAAGTGTCTTATGTGGTGCTGAGAAGTTGTAGAGGGCTTTGCATTTTATCGAAAAGAACATTTCAAAAGTCTCTGTACAAATAACTGGCACCAGACTGTTACAGCTCCAGGATGTTTGAGGGCCTCCCTCCCTCTCTGGGAATGGCTGGGATTCGCAAATAAAACAAGAGCCCAGGAGGTACTGGCTGGCTCCCTGTACCCCACGGCACCCCGTGTTCTGGGGTGCTCCTCCTAGGCGTTGGGCTCCCTGGGCGGGAGCTGCAAGCTGAGGTGCTATGCTGGGTGGAGGGGCTCTGGAGGCCATCTTTTCCTGACCAGAGAGGTTCAACCCTGTCTCCTCAAACAGCTAACATTTGAGGAAAGGGATAAAAATACACCGAAACGATAAACTGAGGAGTCAGGTCTCTTAACCCCTGCACCCCAGGGGTCATTGTTTTTTTTCTAACACAAAACCAAGTGGAACCAAAATGAAATTCCTTCTGGCCTCTGCAGCTCAGAGGCTGGGCTTTCGAGCTTTTGGGGCTGTCATGCGCAGTGTGGCGGCCTTCTCAGGAACTTGGGTTCTGGGCTGGGTGTGGGGTTGTCTTGGTTTTGAGCTTTGCTATCCCGGCACTGAGAGGCGGAGATATCTGCAGCACCTCTTCCAGGGCAGGCGCAAGCCAAGCTGGAGCCCCTTCCACACTGAGCCGCACAGCCCTGGGCCTGCATTAGTCTTCCTTCTCTTCCTTTCGTGCCCCAAACGTGGAGACTGTATAAGAACAGGGCCGTCACTCCCACCTTTCCAGCACAAAGCTATGTCCACACTGCCCACCAACACCATTACTCACACTCATCGCGGGCCTTCATTCGGGCAATGAAGGAGTAGCTCTTGTTGCGGCGGTAATTCTCATAAGGGTCGTCTAGGGCTACGCCCACCCCCTTGTACTGGTCCCACTTATCCCGGACATCGCCGCCCTTAATGGGGTCTTGGATGCCCTGCTCCTTCGCACCGAGGCCACCAGACCCGCTCCAACCTTCAAGGAGTAAAAAAAATGCACATGACGCGGTTCTGACCGCGCCCCCACAGGGAGCCCACAGGACCCCATCATGTGGTCGTGCAGGAAGCTGGCACTGGTCCCAGTACTCACCCATCTTCACCAACATTTGATGTCCTTTGTTCTCTTCTCCGAGCCTTGAGTCTGGTATGGGAGGTGCTGAATTAGAACCCAGGCCGGCTGCGGAGCTGGAATCAAGGGAGCCACGTGGTAAGCCAATGACCCCTACAATGGGCTTAGAGCAGCCATTTAAGCCAGTAGGAAGGGCCTCTGGGCTGGCCCAGTTGGTCTGAGTGATGCCACCTGCCCTTTAGCAATAGGGGTGTCTCTGAATGCCCCACACCAGTGGCTTACGGTGGGGTGGGGCTCCTAGACCTGGAGCGGCGCCGCCTCCCCGGGGAGTAGGACTTGGACCTGGATCTGGACCTGGAGCGCGAGCGGCTTCTGGAGGAGCGTGATCGGCTGCGGCTTCTGTGGGGACAGCGGGACAATGGGGGCCTGCAGGAACTGCGAACATGGGCTTCCCAATGCCCCCACAAGCCTACCTGGACCTGGAACGGGAGGAGGACCGGGACCGGGACCGGGACCGGGACCGGGAGGAGGAACGTGAAGACTTGGAGGAGCGTGAGCTAGAGCGTGACGATGAGCGGCCTCGGCTCTTGGACCTGCTGCGTGACCTGGAGGGGCCGCTGCAGGGGAAATGCCACAGTGAGGATGGCCACAGTTGGGCACTGCATACCACATGACTGGCCCCATGACACCTGCCCAGCTCACCTGTTTCTCTTCTCCTGGCCTTTGCGCCGCCGAGCCCGCATCTTGGCTCGGAAGAACTCGTAGAGGCCATTCTGCTCCCAGCCCTCGCTGTAAGACAAGGTCCCCATTGAGAGACCTAGACGGTCTCCCGGGGCCATAATGGACAGGGAGGAAGCTAACCAGGAGGCAACTGGGGCTCTTATGTCCAGACCTTCCCACTGGGAGGACCTGGTGGGCAGCCGAATTCCAGGTGACCTCATAAACCTGCCCATTACTGTTCTTAGTGGCTGCTGGGCCAAAGCTGAATGGCACAAGGCTAGTGTTCCACGCCCAGCATCTGAGACAAATGCATGCAGTGCTCTGTGGAACCAGCTCCTCACCTGCAAGATGACTAGAAGGGTGGGGACTCAGTCAGGCCTGGGTCCAGCCTCCCTACCTGTTCCTCGGCCTGTCGTGGGAGGGTGGGCTGTAGAAGGCCTCCACAGCTGCGAGCAGCCTCTCGCTGGGTGGCATGGGGGGTGGCAGGCGGATGTCTTTGGGGTCCAGTGGCTTGTACTCGTGGTCCTCTAGCTATAGGAGAACACAGCTGCTGCCTGCGCCCTGCAGAGCCCACCCTGGCCACACAGTGGAAGACAGCAGCAAGGCAGGAGGCTGGCCTGACAATACCAGCATGTCCCTTCCGTCCACCCCAAACTACCGCCTACCCCAAACTACCACCCCTACCAGGGCCCAGTGTCACCTTCACAAGGGGAGCCATTAACCCCGCTGGAAGATCGAAGTAGGGCACATTGGGGACCAGGCTGGGGTCATCATGGTTGATATGAGGTGGGCCCTGTCGCCGCATGTGAGGGGGCTGGCCATTGAAGCCGTGGGGAGGAGGGCCAAAGTCAGGGTGCTGGGGCCCAGCCCAGGGCGGGTGCTCATTGATCCCAGGGTGTGGCATGCGGTGGCCAGGGTGGTGATGAGGGGGTCCCATCTCTGCAAAACAAAACATTGTCTCCAGCTTGCTGGGGTAGTTAAGTGGGGTGAGAGGGCCAATAGGGAGGCCTGGAACTCTCATAGATACGGGTGCAGCTAAGGGGACTCAAGTGAGAAGACTGAAGGACCATCACCGCACCAAGTGGCAACAAGGTCAACATCTTCCTCCTCAATGGAATGCACTGAGGTCCCTCTCTGCCAGGACCTAGGCATGGGTAAGCTAACAGCTGCCCTCAAAACACAACATATGGATACCAGGTCTCTGGTGGACTTCAACCTGGGGTCCTTTGGAAAACAAACAAACAACCCCCCCCCCCCAAAAAAAAAAAAAAAAAACCAGGAAGGACACATGCAGAGGGGCAGAGGAAAGCCTTCCTGAGGCCAGCCCTGAGGACTGGATCTCTACCAGTAGGTAGGATCTCTACCACTGAGGCACCCTTGTCTGTGGCTTCTGTGTGCAGTTCAGGCTGACATGACCACCAAAGAAACACAGGCCAGATGAGTGAGCAGCCAGGAAAGACAGCAAGGCAAGGGCGTGAAAACAGTGAGAAGTACAGACCGGCAAAGTAGAGCTGGCCTCTGAGTGTGGGTGCACAGTGGGGGCCACTCTTGTCTGCCTATCCACACCTATCCTACGCCTGGGATATCCCAACACCTTCCTACATCACCCTATCCACCTACCTGCGGGGAAGTCTCCTTGGGGATAGTCAAAGCGATGAGGATAGGGTGGACGCTCAAAAGGGTGACGAGGAGGGAAGTCATCCTGCATGAAGCGGGGTGGGAAGCGGTTGAAGTTGTGGGGGTGTGGAGGCTGGTTGAACTGTGGGTGCTGCTGGTGAGGTGGGAAGGGCCCACGAAAGTGGGGGGGCCGCTGCATCCGGAAAGGTGGCTCACGCTGGGCACCACCCCAGGGTGGTGGCTCATGCTGATTATTCCATGGTCCTTCAAACTGGTTATTCCAATTGGGGTCTGGCTGGTTGTTCCAGGGAGCATCTCTCTGACCATTCCAGCCAGGGTCCCCACGCTGCTCACCCCACATGCCCTCGTGGCTGTTGTTCCAGGGTGGGCAGTGGGGTGGTCCACCTTGGTGGTGTGGGTATGGGGGCTGCTCTGGGGGCTGCAAGGCAAAACACAGACATGAACTCAAGGTCTGCAGTTATATCCCTTCTCCAGCTTCAAACCTCGCATCTAAATCTGTCTTTGGCCATTGCAACAGGACCAAGTGTGTTCCTCCCCTAAGCCTGACAAGTACCAGATCCCTAATGGGACATAGCAGGGTTATATTCCTGTACCATGCCTCAAAACATCACAGTAAATTGGGCCACATGTCTTAAAGCACCCCACTCTATATCATGAAACTCCTCTAGTCCAGAACATTGTCTGAAGTCAGTCTGGGACACCTGTCCTTGTTTCTTTAAATAGGACAATAGCTGACCATGGCTCAAGGTGTTCCCAGCTACTGCTCTGATCACTTATAATACGAATGGCGGATTTTCTTAGGTTGGCACAGGAGAGGCCAACAGGTCCTCCGCCACACCCAAGGCCTGGCAGCAAGCTGCATGATCCACACCAGGTCGGTAGGGTACTCTTTCCTCTAGCTTCCAAGAGAAGCAGAAAGCTGGATTCCCAATAGCAGGGATGACTTCTGATACCATGAAGGCAGGATGAGAAGCCTGGTCAGCTCCAAAGTCTTTCTTTTATTGGGCAAAGGGAGGTGTGGGCGACATTCCACTGCAGTTCCAGGATAGCCTGGAACTCAATCCTCCTGCCTTAGCCTTCTGAAGACTGGGATTAGAAGCGTGCCCTGTGGCCTGACAGTGTCTTCCATGTCTAGGGATGGAATCTAGTACCTCACCATCTACATGGGCTGTTCACTCACTCCTCGCCTTAAGTTTTGGTGGTGGACTGCCACCCTGGTTGGGAAGCCTCAGTGGATCAGCCCTCCATCCCATAGATCTTACTGGGCCCGCACAGATGAGCCTGTCGTCCACCTCCCTCAAAAGGTTCCATGTGCCCACCCGTGGATTCACAGCCTACACTGAGACATGGGTCCTGCCTACAAGAATGTGCATTTCTTGTCAAGTAACCCCGATGCCAAGGGGTGTGAGGTTCAGATCTGAGACCCGGAGTTCTCAGTCCACAGCCACATCCCTGGCACCTGTTAAGTGTCCTCTATAGTCAGAGTCCCTAAGCCATGGCCTGTTGAGGGGGAAAGTTTGCTATCTATATTGATGCTCCAGCCAAAATCACCTAGCAAATTACAGGGCAGTTCTGGTCATGTACCATGTGACCTCTGCCCTGGTCTAGAAGCTTCCCATCCTGAGCCACCCAGAGTCCTGGCACTGTAGCCAGCATGTGCAACCTCTGGGAGAAGCTCACCACTGCTGTTCTTCCCACCCCTCCCAACAGACCTGAAAGCTGCACTAGTAAGGACAGGCCAAGGAGAACCCTGAGTGGCCCAAACAATGATGGTATGGAAACAGGGGTCTGCTCAGGCTCCACTGTTCCTGAGCCATTATGACTGCTCCCAGACTATTGCTCCACAGGACCCCACAAGGTGCATACAGAGCAGGCCTTTTACTTAACCATGCATAAGCCACAACAGATACCTGCTGTTGACCCCAAGGAGCAACAGGATGAGGCTGATCAAACCAAGGGGGCTTGTTTGGTGGGATCTGCTCATGGGGGCCAGGACCCCGAGGGCCAGCAGCTGCAGGATCCTGGACACCTGCTGAGGCATCGTACTCGGAAGAGCCAGGCATCTGGATGGGAGGCTTGTTGTCATCTAAACACAGGTGACAGTGAGAGGTGGCCAGTCAGGAAGAGAGGGCTGAACTGTGTTCCTAAGGTCACTGAAAGCCATCACTGAAGTGCCACAACCATCATTCTATAGGGATATGAGTGGACATTTTCAATGCTCATGACATGTCCCTGTCTTGTCTACAATATACAGAATTATCAAGTTTTTTCTTTTTAATGACCTCATCTGTATGTTTACAGGCATGCACACAACACATGTGATACTCAGAAGGCAACTCTTGGAGGCAGGGTTTCTGTTGCCACCCTATGGATCCTAGGGATCAAAGGGAGGTCATCAGACCACTGTAAGCACTTCTACTTATTAAGCCACCAAGCTGGCCCCCACCTCAGTTTTAGAGACAGAATGTCTAACGATCTAGAGTGCAGTGACTGCGTGAGGCTGGTTGGCCAGCAAGTTCCAGGGAATGCCTGTCTGCCTTCTCAGCAATGAGCTGACTGACACTATTGCACCCAGCCTTTTCTCTCTCTTTTTAAATTTTTTTTTTTTTGGGGGGGGGGATTCGAGATAGGTTTCTCTTTGTAGCCCTGGCAGTCCTGGAACTTGCTCTGTAGACCACGCTGGCCTAAAACTCACAAAGATCTATCTGCCTCTGCCTCCCAAGTGCTAGGATTAAAAGTGTGCACCTGACTTTTTAAATGAGGTCCTCATGTGTGCATGGCAAGACTTGCTGGTCTAAAACTTGAAATCCTTTTGCCTTAGTTCCCTGGTGTGCATTTGAGATCTTATCTAGGTTCCTTCAGAAGTGGTCCTTTATACACGTACACACTACAAACAGGAGATACAGACACGTAAATGTGTGTATTTTTAGGACTGGCCTGTACGTGCTGAACTCATCTAGCCCTGGACCATACCTCTAACTATGCACCAAGTGTGGGTTAAGGTGCTAGCCTGCCTGTTTCTTTCTGTTCTGGGGACCATGCAGAGTAGACCGTTGGGAATATTTGCCTGGCCTGGGCACATAAGCAGATTACTCTTGACCCAGCAATGGGTGGACCATGGAGCAGGTATCCAAGGGAACAGTGCTCTGACATTCAGGGGATTCAGTTTTAAGAGGTGGAGGAAACCTCATACCTGGCTGGGTAGTTGGTGGGATGGTGGGGGCAGGTGCTGGGGCTGGGGGAGGTGCTGCTGGTGGGGGTGTGGCCTTCACTTCTGCTTCCATCTGAGGCAGCTGAATCTGTGGCTGTGGCTGCTGTTGCTGTTGCTGCTGGGCCAGACTGCTGACAAATTCTTCATGTTGTGTCTTGAGGCTCTGGATCTGCTGCTGGAAAGCTAACTGCACAGGCTGCACCACTGAGGAGTACTCATTGATGAGAGTGGCCTAGTGGAGAGACACCATCCACCATCACTCAGGGTATGAGCCTGAGGCCCAATAGCTAAAGGATGTGAGATGCAGCCACAGACTCAATGATGAAAACATCCAGAGTGGGCAGCCCCTGCTGTGTGGCACTCACCTGGTACTGGCCAAGTCCCAGGGCAGGGCTCTGCAGCTGCTGAATGATGGAGTCATCAAAGTAGCCATTCTTCTCCCAGAGCTGCAGGAGCTGGTGCAGAGGGACATTCATGAGGTAAAGGCCATGCCACCCAGCACCAGCCAGCCGCTCAACCACCCACCCAACCCCAGCAGCACCATACCCGGGCAATCTTCTGCTGCTTGTCCTCCTCCACAGCCAGGAAGCTGGTGCAGTAGATAGGCACTACCACCTTCTGTAGGGCAGCCAGCAGCTCCCGGGCCTGCTTGCGCTGGCTGTGAGGGAGAGACCTTCCGCGCGTCAGGGCCCTGGGGCGGGACCCGGCCACGCACCCGTTACCATGAGGCTGCAGTCACAGCACCCTCTCCTCAGGAAATGCCCCCCCCCACCAATCAGGTAGGTCTACCTGCAATGCAGGTGCCTTGACTTGGGAAAACAGGTGGAGAGAAAGGGTGCACTCCAGGGCTATTGAAAACAAGGCCTTCACTAAGAAAAGGGCCCACCAGAATGCTTGCATGCGAGTAAGGTGAAATGGGGCTGCTGTGGTCAGGAACGGGTCACCACTGTTCACAGCAGATTTAACAACCTGCTCAGCATGGATTCCCCAGCCCCATAGGGCCACTGAGGCTTCTTGGAGCCTAACCACCCATGATGGCTATGGTCAGCATTTGCCTGCCATGTGCAAGGCCCTGGGTTTCATGCGCAGTGCCCCTGAGGGGAGACAAAGAGGAGAAAAAAAAAAAAGCCCAGGAAGGCCCGTTCAGCTGTGCAGTATGGTGGATCCAGGCCTCTGGTATGACAGTGACTCAGCAAGATGGCCCATATGTCCACCCAGAGGCTAGCAGCTTCAGCTCCCATAGCTGAGGTCAAAGGGCAGCAAGGGCTGGTCAGGAGCTGGGTAACAGAAGGCAGTGCAAGCCAGAGCTTTGTGTGAGCCCAGGTGACGAGTGTAGCACAAGTAGCAAGCTACTGTGAGAGGAAAGGATACAGTGCAGGAGCGGGTAGTGGTGCAGCCACTGCTCACTTCCCAGCAGGGCAGACATGGGGATGAGGCAGGGAGGGGTTGTGTAGGGAGACAGGGAGGGAAGGAGAGAGCAGGTCAGTTTCTTCTGCTCTCATGGGAGCCATGCTCACTTATCAGGTGTCCTGGCTGTCATGGCCATGCTAAAAGGCAGGCCATGTATCACTAGCATGTAATTCCTGCACCTGCCTTTGGCCAGAGTTCTGGGTTCTGGTTTCCCCCTCCATCAACTTCACCTGGTGGCCATGCAGAAATATACCTACCAGGCCCTAGGAGGCTGGGGCCATAGTGCAAAAGAGAATTCTGATAGGCAGAGAGTCAGCAAAAGGAGGCCCAGGATACATCAGAGCAGAGGGGAGGGTGCCCACAGTGTAGTGGTCGGGTGTCTGGCTGTGAGGAACAGTGGGGAGTAGAGGAGGGACAGCAGATCAAAGCACACATGATGGCTGCAGAGGCAGAGAGGAGGCTGCAGAGCCCAAGACCTGCCTTGTGGAGGTGCCAGCCACTATCCTGGAAGGGCAAGCAGTGCCCCAGTGTGTGGGTCTGACAGGGGCAGTCTGATGAGTTGGGAGACCCTACAGGTGTGGGCTATAGCCCAAGTGATGGTGTACTCACCAATGGTGCAGCACATCGTTGATCAGATAGATGAGGTGCAGCCGCAGCTCAAAGTGTGCTCCATCAGCGGTGATGCGGTTCCGCAGGTGGCCTGCCATCAGCTCGCAGTGTGGTGGGGACTTGGCATTGCTGAACATCCAGTTCTTCCCAGCCTGAGAGTCAGGTCAGGGTGAGTGGGTGGTCGGTCAGGCAGATGACACCCCCACCCCACACTGAGCCTCACCGAGATGGCATCCTTAGTGCAGGTGTCAATGATGGGCTGGAGCAGGTTGTCAAACTCGCTCATGTCCAGCTGTGTCTCTTCCAGCAGTTTCTGCATCTGCTGTTCCACTGCATGTGCCACAGCTGCAGTCACTTGCTCCTGGGAAGGCCACAAGGGACAGATGGTGTGAGCAAGGGCCTGCATGTGTCTTTTAGCATATGCCAATCCTATGATAGTCCACCACCACAGCAGATAGGACAGGAAGGGGACAGAGCTGGCCTCAGCTAACAGGAGAAGGTGAAGCCAGGAGGCAGGATGCATGGAAACCAAGCAGGCAAAGCAAGGCAGGAGTGAGGATCAACACATATGGTAGGCGCCTATGATCCTAGCCCACAGGAGGCCGAGGCAGGAAGACTATGCTTCTAGGACAGTTTGAGATGTTGTCTCAAAAATCAAACCAAACTAAACCCAAACCAACAAATGGTAAGTATTGGCAACCAAGCCTGTTAAGACTTAGAAGCCAGTTCTGGTGCCCAAGACCTCACTGTCCAGTCTAGGACTGGTGGCAAACATCCATGCATGCTGTGTGAAAGTGAGGGAACGCCAAGTAGTGCTGGTACTCAGGACCTTAGGTCACTCCTTTCATTTCTGGTTCGTATCCCTAAAGAATCTGGCAACAGGACCAGCCTAACAGATGGGGCCAATAAGGTCCCTCCCTACTAACTGAGCCTGGTAGGCACTAGGCCACCAAGTATTGGCATCCACAGTGGGTACAAGTCCACCCAGAAACACCTACAAATGACCCACAATCCTATTGAAGGTGACCCCACGGTTGCTGGCCTGAGAAATAGCTGTACCTGGCGCAGGGCCAGCAGGTGCTGCTCCTGCTGCTGGAGACTCCACTGGCTCTGCTGGATGAGTTCGTCCATTGATGGGGTGCCCTGGGCCGGAGTGAGGGGCGCTGTGGGAGCCAGCGGAGGTTGTGGCAGAGGGGGCATGGCTGTGGTTGGCTCCAGCTCTGGGGCCTGCTGCTTGCAGATGACTAGTAGGAAAGAGATGGGCCCTGTGAGCCTATGGCCAACCCTTGGCTCCCTAAGATGCATCGGGTTTGGCCTCCATGAGGGCCTGATGGAAGGAGGCTAGGTCTACTGTCCGTGTTCTCCTCTGTTGTGCCTGGCCTCCCTGGAGACCCTCAAGAGTTGCCTTTTCGCCTCCTCTTTACCACACAGGCGGAAGCTACCCACCTTCCCTTCTTACCCAAGCTGAGTTACTATGGACTGCAGGCCATGGCCATTGCTGTAGATGTAGCACCTCTCCCAGGGGTGTGTCTGTCCCATGAGACTGGTCCCCAATCTCCCCCTCACTCAAGACATTCTGGAGGCCTGGCCAGCACACACAGGGTTGAAGTTTCCCCAAAGACTCGCCCCACCTCCTGTGACGATCCCTCTAGCACCCAGGATCCACCTAGCTTGAACCACCACCAACACACTGGTATGACAGTAAGTGTCTGGAGCTGGCACGCGCCCCAATGCTAGCTACATGACCTATTAGTGTATATGGAGAAGAGGGTCCCTGCTTGCAAATAGGACTTTAACAAAATGGCCTGCTTACCCCTCTACTTCTGGGTCCTGCCTGGTCCCAACAACATGGCCAAACTCTGGGAGTCTCTGAGGCTCACCCAAAGGAAATGGCCTTAGACTGAAGGTATCACTTGGACCTTAGTGGCACCCCACCAGTCTGTCTGGTAAGCTGTAAATCCCACACTCTTTTGGGGAGGAAACTCCACTTTGGAGGAGCCAATGATGGCTTAGGCCTTCGCTCATGGCACCACTGGGCTTTCACAGGCTCACCACACTACCTCCCAGTCCAAGTCTGGGTCTTGCTCCTGCACTGCAGCCTGGTACAGCAGTACATCCAGATGAGGGTGTACGACCCTCACACTATTCAGCAACATTGTCAGTCACACCTCTGCTTGTGTCTGCATCATGCCTCCTGTAGCAGAGTGACCCCTCTGCATATAGCAGGCAGTGGGCTGTGGAGCAGCCTTGCCTTGAGTGATAATCTATGGGATAGGCAATACCCCACAGCTCACATTTTTATTGCACTTTACAAACATGAGGCCATGGTGGTGGTAGACTAGAAGTTTTAAGAAACAAAACAACACTAGTCCTTTACCACAGAGCTTGCAAAGTGTCATTCTAGACCAGCCCAAGGTTTAGTGATAAAATACTGAGTTGGTTTACAGCCCTTTCTGAGCCTAACTTCCAGGTGACGCTCAAAGCCCCTCAGCAAGACACCAACCCCAAACCCTCTTCTACCCACTGCCCTCACCCTGACCCATCCCCTACCCCTCTAGCTTGCCCCTGGCTGTTCCTGTCATTTTCAGTAGATTCTACTCTGGTATGGCTCTCAGATTTGTCTTCCTGTCCCCAGCCACCAATCTGCCATGATTTCCACATACTTTTCCTTTCTCTGCTACAGCGCTAAGTCTATGGCCAGGTGGGAAGGGTGGGCAGGGACTTGCTGTGTACTTCTCAGGGATATTCACTCCAAGACACTGTCAAAGCTTCCTCCCACTTTGCTACCCTTCACCCATCCCCAAAGGGGTCTGGACACCTTCATAAGGGGTAACTAGCAACTCCCCCCAACTCTAGCCTGTTGTGTTGGAACCTGTTTGAACCCTCTTGTGGCTCTGTTGCCTAGGATAGTTATGAACTTGGTGCTCTGGGGTTAAGGAATGATCAGACACCTTGTTGGTGACACCAAACAGCTGACCTCTCCCAAAACTAAACAGGAAACAAAACCTTATGACTGACAGACTCCAGCTCACCTTGATATATCAAAACCCTCCCTCAGCTCACACTTAAGGCCATCAGTGGCTCCTCTCTGAACATATAGCTTATACAACTCCCTATGCTCCATGAGCTCAAGTCTGACTGTCCCACCAGCCTTGTGCTAGAGCACAACAAAGTATTTAGTATCAGAGGACTGTGGCTCAGCAGCTATGACCTCTGAATATCCATGGCTTTGCAAGGGCAGGCACTCATTCCAACAGCTTATCCAGAGGCTAGAGAGCTACTCAGATTATGACAGACGTGAGTCCTGCCCTCAGGACCCATACCATCTGCTGACATGTTATCATTAATAAAAACTGGGGTATGCTGTCTTACACTTGAAAAGCCGATACTGGTTTGCTTTGAGTTGGAAGCCAGCCTGGGTAACATAAGGCCAGACCAACTTGGGCTACAGTGTCAGACCCTCAAAGACAAGCTGTGCTTCCTAACTCTTCATTTTTTGTTTCTTTTTTTTCCCCCACTTTTTTGAGACAGGGTCTATGTTGCTTGCCTGTACTGGAATTCGACATGAAAACCAGACTAGCCTCAAACTCAGAGATACACCTGCCTCTGCCTTCTGTGTGCTGGGATTAAAGGGCTGACCCACTTAATTTTTATTTTTTTAAATTATGCTTTTCTTGATGATCACCTAGTTGGGCATTTAAAATACAGTTTGGTCAGGAGGGGTGGTGCACGTCTTTAATCCCAGCACTTGAAAGGCAGAGGCAGGCAGATCTGAATTTAAGGGTTGCCTAGTATACAAAATAGCTTCAGGACAGTCAGTGTTACACAGAGAAACTGTGCCGAAACCATTTAAAAACATCAAAATCGTTGCAAAACCTAAAGGAAAAACTTCTTGATCTATGTATCTGAAATGCACAGAAACCTCTGCCTCAGCCTGCAGAACGAGCTACACAGTTCCTGAACCAGGTACAAGCCTCTGCTTCCCGCCTTCCTGCAGAAACGGTCATCCCCTCTGCAAAGACAATCCAGGAACTCCCGACCTGGCGCCCGGGAAGTGAATGTATGACACTTCTACGACTCCTTATGAAGCACAGACTCAACAATCTATCTTGGTGCAGGGCCCCGGAAACCCCGGGAACGACAGAAAAAACAGCGGAGACATAATCGCCCGCCTTCACAGAGGACACACTATGAGGCCCCAAAGAAAGGCTGCGGCGGGGCCAGATCGGACTCCGAGGCGGCCGATGGCTGAGGGGACTCACGCTGCTGCTGCTCCAGAGCCAGCTTGCACTTGTAGTAACTGTAGAACTCGCCTCCGAACAGAAACGAAAATTTCGGGTTGTCTTTCTGCTTCTCCATGGTCATTTTCTCGAACTCGGGCCCGTTGCGAGCCACGAACTGAGCGAGCTTGTCGATGACATTCCGAAGCTCCTGGTCTGCAGGACGGAGGAAAGGGCGTCAATGGGAGCAGCCCGAACCCGGGGACCCGGCCGGGGTCCTCTGGGGCGGGCCGCGGCGAGGCGGCGGTGTACGGGTCCTGAATGGGGCCAAGCGCGCGCGCTGTAAAGCGGGGACCCACGGGGGAGGCCGCGGGAAGAGCGACGAGGCCGCAGCGCGCTTCGTCTCTGACCCGGGAACTTGGAGAGGCACGGCCGGCCGGCGTGGGTACACGGGGAGAACCTAACGACCTCCGCTCAGGTATGGGCCTCACCGTCTGGCGGCAGCGGCATCTCCATGGCTGCAGCCGCTGAGAACGTCCTCCGGAGCCTCACGATCACCCACCAGCACCGGCCACAGAAACCGGCCGGAAGTGGCGCGAAGGCAGCCGTTTACGACGACCTCGCGGGCCGCTTTGGCGAGCCATTTACGGCCGTTGCTAGGAAACCCCGGAAGTGAGGACTAGAGGAGGCGGGAAGAGGCTGCGTGAGGAATCACGCGCTGGGAGGGAGGCTAGCGAGGCGCATGCGTGGGAGCTTCTTGGCGCAGGCGCTGGACTGGCCGCAGTTCTGCGACGCTGTAGAGCACATGGAGCGGTCCCAGCTTGAGGTTGTGCTCTTGTGTCTTTGCGAGAGCGTCCGGGCGCTCCCGGGCCTCTGGGTCTTTCAAAGTCTCCTGTATTGTCCAGACTTGGCGAATCACATGATCCCTGCTCGGGTCCTTCCGTTCCGATCTGGGTCTTTTGGGTAAGAATTTTGAACATGAAGGAGCCTCGCTCCCCAATAACAGCCTCAGACAGACGTGGAGCAACGACACGACCGTGCAGACTCGTGTTGTCCTAGGGACGGAGAACTGAAAGCAGCCATCGGCAGCCAGCCAGCCTCTTTGTTTACGTATTTTATTATTTTTGTTTGTTTATTTTAAAGACGGGGTTTCTTTGTGTAGCTTTGGAGGCTGTTCTGGTACTCAAGGCATGCGCAAAACCACCCGGCTGTATTTTGTTATTTACTTCTGCTTTTTGGAGATTGGGTCTCAAGAAGCTCGGGCTGACCTCTAATTCCCCATTATAGTTGGAGTGATCTTGTAGCTTGAGTGCTGTGGCGTGCGTGGGGGGGGGGTGTTGAAGATGGGAAGCCAGGAATGTGTGAAATCTTGGCAAGCACAGTGCTATACTAATGGATTTAAAAAAGAAAAGAAAATATATCTTAGTTTGCCACGTATGGACACCTTTAATTCCAGCAGAGGCGAGGCAGGCAGTTCGAGGCTGCCTCCTGGTCTACAGAGTTCCAGAACAGCCAGGACTGGAAAGGACAGAGAAACCCTATCTGGAAAAACAAAAATAGATTTATTTGAACTACGTGTATGTGCCTGGTGGGTTTGAGCAGGTAACTTCAGTGCCCTCCAAGGCTGAAAGAGTGCACAGGATCTCCTGGAGCTTCGTGCTGACATCTCTGACATGGATTTACTTATTGAACTTGTGCTGTCGCCTACCAAGCCGTTAACTGTGAGCCTCTGCATATTGGAGCCCATTATACCGACTTCTCCTTATTCTCTTGCTTCTCTTGGATACCTGGGGGTTCCACACCAAGATTATAGGAGGAGGAAAGATGCAGTTGAGTCCTCGAGGGATCCTGACAGTCTTGAGATTCCTTTGCCCTTCCAGGAAAATCCTGTCTTGGCTGCTGTGAAAACCCTTATGATCTTGGACCTGTAGAGATCACTTGGTGGTAATATGCTTGGCTCTGGAGCAAGATGATGTGAGTTGAGGTCTAAGAACTCAGTGTAAAAGCCAGACAACAGGGGCTGGAGAGATGGCTCAGCAGTTAAGATCACTGATTGATCTTCCTGAGGACTTAGGTCCAATTCCCCGTACTTGCATGGCACCTCACAACTGTCTGTAACTCCAGGATCCAACAGCCTCACAGACATACATACAGGCAACATGCCAATAATAATAAAATAATGATAAAGCCAGACACAGCACAGGCCCGTAATACTCAAAGGACATTATAGTCTTGTCAGGACTGTTTGTGTCTCTCACGGCAAACTAAAGTCTTCTTGTGCTCTCTGTTCCTTAAGATTCCTGCTCACAGTATGGTATCTCCCTACAGAACTCAGCAACTTCTCTGACAAAGCTCAGGCTTTCCTGATTCTTTCAGCACACAGGATGCCCTAACCCCCATCCTATTGTCCAGACCTGCAAGGCAGCTGATGGTTTAGGGGAGTGACATTGTCCACTCTCCTGGGTCACATTCCTGCTCACCCAGCACAGCTCTACCCTAACCCTCTTCTGTTCAGTTTACCCAGCATTATTGTCTCCATGACTGGATGACATGTGGGACGCTGAACATCATTTTCATTGTTAACCTCTTCTTAGTGCCTCCCTGAGGAGAGGCACTCAGGTACCCTGGTTTAAAGCTATAGAAGCGAGGGAGAGATGGCTCAGCCACTAAGAACACTGGCTACTCTTTCAGAAGACCCTGGCTTTATTTCCAGCACCCACATTGGTAGCTCACAACTGTGACTCTAGCTCCACTGGCCTCCTTGGGCACTGAACACACATGGTATACATACAAACAGAGACAGAACACAAAATTAGAAAGCAATAGTAGCCAGGTGGTGGTGGCATATACCTTCAATCCCAGCTTTCAGGAGGCAGAAGCAGGTGGATCTCCATAGCCAGCCTGGTCTTAAATTGAGTTCCAGGATAGCCTAGGCTGTTACACAGAGATATCATGTCTTGGAAAAAAGGTTTATTATGTTTTATTTATTGGTGGGGGAAATGCACCTGCCTTGGCCCATGTATGGAAGTGAGGACAACTGAACTGTGATTGGTTCTTAACTGATATTCCAGTGTCCCCAGGAATTGAACTCAGGTTGTCAGGCTGAGCCATCTCACTAGCCTGCTCCACATACCCACTCCCTTCCCTGAACAGGGTCTCCACCTTCCTTGCCCTAGAGTTAAAGGCATGCACCACCATACCTGGTCTTCTGCGTCATATTTCTCACTTACTCTCTGTTCATGCCCAGCCCACTGTTTCTCACAACCTCTAGTAATTCTGGGTAACTAAGTTCTGCCAAAGTCGCCTGCCTCTCTCCTTGCTCCTTTACCTTTCTCAATCAATGACCCCCCTAGGGGACCTGGATGAATCCCCATTCACTCAGGCCAACACCAAAACTGCAATACATTCTGTCTGTTCACCATGGCAGCTGCCCTGACTACTCACAGAATTCTCCAAAATAAAGGGGGAAACCTAAATGGCCAAGTATGAGGGAGCAGTGCTTGCCTAGCATGTGTGAGGCCCAGGCTCCCATCCCACTGTTTGAATGGACTGCCACATAACTGTCTAAAACTACAAGGTGTGGCTTCAATTTAGTGCTAACACACAGGAATCAGAGTTAAGGCCAACTACACAGAGTTCAGAGCTGGCCTAAGTTCCATGAGACCTGTCTTAATAAGAGCGGGCAAGACAGCCCAGTGGGTAAAGGTACTTGTTGCCAGGCCTGGTGACTTGTTTGATCCCTAAAGCCCACTGACCTCCACATGTGACCATGGCATGTACACCCCCAACATGAATTTAATAAACAGTTGGAAAATGAGCTGGTGGTAGTGGCACTGTGATCCACCTGGTCTACAGAGTGAGTTCCAGCACAACCAGGGCTGTTTCACAAAGATGCCCTGTCTGGAAATACCAAAAAAGGAGAGGGAGAGAAAGAGAATGGCTAAGAGTGCTTGCTGTGCAAGTGAAGACATGAGTTTGATTTCACACACAACCTCCTCGAGCCAGGAGTGGCTATGCCTGTGACTGTTAACCTCTGTGCTGTGGTGGCAGGCAAGAGAATGCTGGGCTCACTGCCCACCAGCCTTGTTCCAGGTTCAGTGAGAGATCCTATCTCAAGGAAATAATGTGGAGAGCAGGATACATTAGGGCACCCAATATCCTCTAGCCTAATTTGTTTGTGGATGCAGCACACACACAAGTTATCACAAAGCCCCTATGGCTTCCACTCTGAGGGAGTGTAGTTCATCCACTGGATGAGTGAGCAGTTTATCCCTGTCCACCAAGCATTGAATCAGCTAGTTTGCTGACAACCCAGCAGTATTTCTTACTGTTAACAAGATGTGAATCTAAACCACTATTGCCTGGGATGTGCTCTAAAGAAACTGGAGGATTACCAAGAGTTCAAAGCTGGCCTGGACACTATCCTATCAAGATCCGATCTTGAATGAATGGATGTAATAGTCTGGTAGCTGCTATGAGCCCTTATGAAATTAATGTCAACCATCCACTTGGTACATCTAGAATGATCTGGGATGGGCCCAGGAGGCCTCTGAGAGGGACTATGAGGATGCTCTTGATGAGGATACCTGGCAGGGAAAATGTGCCCATGGTGGCTACATTGTTGCCTCAACTGAAGAGAAGCAAGCAAGCTGGGCTCCATCATCCTGTCTTTCAAATAAGATATTCACTGCTCAATGAGGGGAGCCCTTTCAGCTAGCTATGGTGCAAACAGGGTACCCCATCTAATACACAGATGGGTTGGAAACCCATCCGTATGTTGTTCCAGCCCATCCGTATATTAGAGTCTTACGATAGTTGTGAATGGAAACAAGGGGTTTCTGATGATGAGGACATAGGTCTTGGTCCCCCCACCTTTGATGTAATGCTTTATTTGTTTTACTTCTGAGACAAACAAATATAGCCTAGTCTTCAAACTTGTAGCAGTTCTGCCTCAGCTTCCCTAGGTGATGGCATACTTGCCCATGCCTGGCTGACCCAGTGGCTTTGAGGGAAGAGTTGTGCATGCTCTGCAGGAGAAAAAAAAAATCCAACATTTGAGGGTGGAGGTAGGAGGATGAGGCCAGCCTACCTCAAACATAAGAGGAAGAGCACCAAGCATGACAAACCACACCTGTCAGACCGTGCTGAGGCAGGGCTATTGTAGATCCCAGGCAAGCTCCAGAAGAGACCCATGGGGATGTCCCTCTCATCATGTATGCTGCAGAAAGGTCCTCAACAGGTTATGAGCACAGAACTACACTCTGGGACTCCCTAGCCCCCAGCATGTGAGCCAAACCAAGATATATCAACCTGCTTGTGTTGGGCAATCTGTTCCAGCAATAGAAACCAGATTGGGCCAGGAAACTACAACCACACACATTGGCACAGGGACTATCCTCAGCTTGAACACTGGCTGCAGTGAGCATACAGCAAGAACACAGCAGCCCAGCTGGTGACCAATGGGATGTTTGTCTCTTGGAAAACTACAAAGCACTGTATGTAGAACTGAGGGAGAATATTTAGTAACACACTATCTTTGGATTATTACTTAGGAAAGAAACAACAGTCACAAAACAATATTATGACATTTCGGTGAGATATGGTCTCATGAAGCTCTTGCTGACCTCAAACTGTAGCCAGGGATGACCCCAAGCTTCCTGACAGATTTTGGAAACTGTCCGCAGGGGTTTACCTCATTCTTTTTTATTTTGATTTTCAAGACAGGATTTCTCTGTGTAATAATAGCTCTATCTGTCCTGGAACTCACTCTGTAGACCAGGCTGGCCTTGAACTCAGAGATCTGCCTGCCTCTGTCTCCTGAGTGCTGGGATTAAAGATGAGTGTCACTACCATATGGCCCTGTTTTTTTGTTTTTTTTTTTTTGAGACAGAGTTTCTCTGTTTTGTTTTGGAGGTTGTCCTAGAACTTGATCTGTAGACCAGGCTGGCCTCAAACTCAGAGATCTGCCTGCCTCTGCCTCCCGAGTGCTGGGATTAAAGGTGTGCGCCACCAACACCCAGTCTCCGGCCCTGTATTTTAAAAGATGTTATGTGTATGGGTGTTTGCCTGCATGTATGTCTATATACCACATGTGCAGTGCCAAGTGTCCAAAAGATTCCCTTGGAACTGGAGTTATGGAAGGTTGTGACCACCTTGTAGGTATTGGGAATCAAACTCAGGTCCTCTCCAGCCTGAAACATTTAAACATCTAAATATCAGTAACTACTGGTTTTCTTTTCTTTTCTTTTTTCTTTTTTGAGATAGGGTTTCTCTGTGTAACAGTTCTGGCTGTCCTGGAACTCACTCTGTAGATCAGGCTGGCCTCAAACTCCCAGGAGCTCTGCCTGTCTCTGCCTCCAGAGTGCTGGGATCAAAGGTGTGCACCATCACCACCTAGCTAGTTGTTTTTAGAAACTTCTCAAACTTAAAAATAGGCCCAGGAAATGGCAGCGTCAGTGAAGTGTTGCTGCACAAGCATTTAGCCTGGAATCTGATCCCAACTCCCAGGTAAAAGCTGGATGTGGTGGCACACAGCTGGAATCCCATCACCGTGGGGTCTGGGGCCAGAGAAAGGAGGTTCCCTGGTGCTAGCTGCCTAACTGACTGACCAGTCTAGTCAATCAGTGACTGCCAAGTTCAGTGAATGACCCTGCCCCATAAAATAAGATGGAGACTGGTAAAGGACACCTGAGGTCAACATCTGGCCTCTATACCCACATACTGGTACTTAGCCCCCACCTGTTTGTATATATAGGGCTGGCTCAATGGGGAAAGTGCTTGCTACAAAGGCATGGGGACCCAAGTTCAAACCTTTAGCATCCACATAAAAAGCCAGGGGTGGGGAGGTAGAACCAGGAACCATGGGGCTCAGTGGCCCAGGTGGCAAGTACACAGTACACTTGCCACTCAGCCTGAGACTGAGGATCGTGAATTTGAGGTCAGCCTGGGCTACAGAGTGAGACCCTGTCTCAAAACAACAAAAGGAGAATAACTAAGGAAACAGGTGCCCTGAAGGAATATGGATGGATCTGGGTTCTTGCAGGAACTGAATCCTGATGCAACATTAGCTGGCTGAAGCCATAGAGGTTCTCAGGGAGCCTTAATAGGAAGATTGAAGGCCAGCATCAGTTATGGTAAGTTTACACACATAGACATGAAAGGCAGGCAGAATTTTTTTCTTGCCTTATATACGTATGTGGTTTGTGTATAGTGTACAAGTGCATGTATTTGGATGTATAGGTGCCCATGTATATAGGAGTTTGCATATGCATTTGCATGCAGAGGCTGGAAGTTGACATCAGATATCTTCCTTAACTGCTCTACACACACACTTCAGGGTTTCTCTGTGTAGCTTTGGAGCCTGTCCTGTCCTGGAACTCAATCTGTATGTAGACCAGGCTGGCCTCGAACTCAGAGATCCACCTGCCTCTATCTCCTGAGGGCTGGGACTAAAGGTATGGGCCACCATCACCCAGCACACACTTTTAGATTTTTAAAATATTCAGAGATTTTTCTGTGTAGGTGTGTACATACCATATCATATTTGTGGAGGCCAGAGGACGATTTGCAGGAGTCAGTTCTCTCCTACCATGTGGGTCCTAGAAATTGAACTGATTGTCAACACTTGGCAGCAATCACCTTTCTTAGCCACCTGGCTGGCCCTTTACCTCACATGTAAGATAGGCCCTCTGGCTGAACCTGGAGTGGGGTAATAGTTTGCTCCCATGATCCTGGCTCCACCTCCCTTGCACTACAATGGCAGGAAGGCCTGGAGTCCCAATTCTGGTTTTCATACCTGCCATGCAAGGGTTGCCTGAGCCATTTCCTGCTTTAGTTTTTCAGACTCCTTGCATGTTGTGCTGCTGGGAGCAAAAAGAGAGACCCTTCCTGACAAACCAGAGCCAATCCCAAATCCCTGGAGACCATCATTTATTTTTGGTGAATACCAACCAAGAACACAGCTATTCCCACAGAGCAGTCTGACACTGGAGCCTCAGGATGACAACAATGGAAAACAGGAACACGACAGTTTCCCATTTCAGACCCTGAGGTTTTGAGCTTGGAGTCTGGTTATGAAAAGCTAACTGCCCAGAGTCTTCCCAACACACAAGGAAATTGAGTCTCAAGTACTTCCCTGATTCAATCCATCTGGCTCATCTCCTTCCCCAGAATAAAAGGTATAAAATACGGTGCTGGGTATGACAGGACTACTTTCTATCCTCAGCCAGCCTGGACTATACAGGTAGATATCATCTCAAAGAAATAAATAACTAAAAGAAGTCCTACCCTGAGAATTCTAATAGTGAACAGACATTCAAAACTATTCTAAGACTGTTTCACCTTCTGTAAAATGAAGGAGTTGGAGTTGGGTGGTGTCAGGATAAGTTTTGGCCAGGCCATTTCAAAGGGTATATGGAGAGAGCAACCTAAACTCTCTAATATGAACCCCAATAGAGAACTGGGATGAGGTAAAACTGGAGAGATGAACATGAGGGGGGATGGTGGCACAAGACAGAGGGCTAACACCATTTTAAATGAATCAAGGTAAACTCTGGATCAAGTCTGTTTTGTCTCATGTAGCCCAGGCTGACTTCAAACTCTGTGTAGCCAGAGATGACCATGAACTCCTGCTGTTAACTGCCCCAGCCTCCTGACTGTTGGGTAACAGGTGTGCACCACCCACCACCCACCACCCATTTCTGTGGTGCTGAGGATGACGCCCAGGGTTTCATGCGTACCAGGAGTTTTGCACCCACTCAGCTGCAGCCATCTGGCCTACTTGATTGTCTCATCCATCTCAGGTTTCACACCTGCTGCAAACCTATGAACAGAATTAAATATCCCATTTATTAATTTATAAACCATAAGAAAAGTAAGATGGGCCTTTCCCTCCCTGGCAAACCTCACATTGGAAAAGGAAAAATGCATTAATATACATATTACAGCAACATCATAGAAATCCAAAAAGACATAATTCATTCTGAGTTCAGCACAGCCAGGGACACCCAGAGAGACCCTGTAGTGCAAGGTGTCTCAGTGCCTTCCTTCCCCAGCGAGGAGACCCACCAGACCACCTTACCAAGGTACTCCTTCCCACTGCCATGGTGGGCTCTGAACATCTGCAAACTGGCAAGCAGCCCCAAGGCTGGCATTGCCAATGAACTCAACCTTAGACACAAAATTCCAATTAATCAAAGGCAAAGGGCAAAGGGCAAAGGGCAAGAAACCAGGAGTTAAGAACTGGGGCACCATGACACACTTGTCATCTCAGTGCTTAGAGATGGAGACAGAGGCACAAAGAATGCTAAGAAAAAATGCTAATTAATAGTTGAAGTTCAGTCTGGGAGCCTTAGTGAGGATGTCTCAAGGTGAGCATGGTATGACGTTTTTAATCCCAGCACTCAAGAGGCAGGGACAGGTAGATCTGAGACCAGCATGGTCTATATTGTGAGACCCTGTGTCAAAAAACAAACAAGCAAAACTCAAAACACATAGATACCCAGCAGCTAATACCCCTGCTGCCAAAGAAGACATGTTACAATCCTTGGGTCCTAGCATTTAACTGTTGTGCCCACACCAGAACCCACACTTCTGCTTACTAACAGATTCTCCTGTGTTGCCACACTGGCCTTGAACTCACAGGCTTGGGAGAGTCTCCTGCTCTGACTTCCTGAGTAGCTAGGACCATAAGTGTAGGCCACTAGGATGGCACCCCAAACTTTTTGTTTTTGAGATAGCCTCATCATGTAGCCCGGATTGGCTTCAAACTCATGGCCATCCTTCTGGCTCAGCCCCTGGATGTGTACCATAATATCACGTCCCTAAAACTGATCTTTCTCTTGAGATAGGCTCTCAAGTAGCCCAGGTTGGTCTGGAACTCACAATGTAGCTGAGGACCCTGACCTTGCTTCCAAGAGTGCTCGGAAGGCAGGCCTGTACTACTATGTTACTTTCTGTGATGCTGAGGACAGAAGCCACTGACCATACATGTGAGGCAGGCACTCTACCAACCCAGCCTCAAACTGACTCTTAACTATAAAACTAAGACTTGCCTGCTGTCCCATCCACTGGGACATAGTCCTGATCCTGACCCACATACTGTTTCCTCATTGACAAGTGATGCTGTATTTGGAGTATGAATTCCACCTTCTGCTACTCTAGCTGTAGTTTTAGGACCCTTCAGCATTGCCTGCTACCACTGAGCTCCAAGGGACTGCTCTAGCAATAAATGTTCCATGTTTTGAAATGAGTCAAGATGGTTTCTACCAGTTGGCTAGCCCTGGTGCAGTATCTGCCAGGACCTAGACTTCAACAAGATGCTTCCCAGAGAAACTCAAGGTCCTGGGGATATTGCTATCACCATCACTGGCCTTCTGTGGCATCAGAAGGATAGAGACACAATCAAGGTTAACACTAGCCATATCTTTTAGAGTCCAAGGGCTACTCAGGTCCAGAGTGGAGGGGTGTGTCCTGCTCTGGTACCCACAAGGCAGAGAAAAGTCACACCAATGGTTGATGAACCAATGTTCACTGTAAGTTTGCCTCAGGTCAGTGCTAGTTCCAAGTGGCCAACTCCCTTGGGGCATCTTGGAGCTCTGTTGCCAGAGATAGGTAATAGTACCTGTGTAGCCCTCCATACCTCTGGGCTACAACCCTGCTGTCTTCTCCTTTATGGCCTAGATCCCACCTCCTGCTGGCTTCCAGGACTGCAGCCATAGCAATGCCAGTTCTGCAGAGTGGGTCCCTTGTCGTCATCACAAGTTCAGACCAGACTTTGGTAGTACACTGGGGGCACCCCTGTGTACCAATGCAGAAGAGTGTGGTCTCTGAGCAGAAGTGTGAACCAGTATTTCTCTGTGGCTTTCTCTCTGCCCAGTGTCTGTGGCTCTCCATGTTGATGGAGGATCAGGATCCAGGGTCCCCCCTGCTGGCTTGCCATGTGCTCAGCCAGGCTGTTGGGCTTGGGGAGGTGGTGCAGGAAGCTTGGCCTGGTGGGCCCCTACACATCATGGCGGCTGAGAGCATAGGAGTTTGGATGGCTCTGGCGGCCGTAGTGGAAGTGGTCTGTGAGGAGAATGTTTCGGTACTGGAAGTCACCTTGCTGGGGGAACAGTGCACCATTGTGGGGCTTCTCCATTGGGCTTCGTAGGTGCTCTCTGCTGCTCAGGTCGGACGTAGATACAGGGAGGAGGTGTCGCCGAGCCTGCTGGTTTGCATCGTACTTGGTCTGTGTGGAGAGCAAAGAGGCACAAGGGAACTTTGGGTGTGTGTGTGGGGGCATGTCACCCCAGCACTAAGGAAGTAGAGGTTGGAGGGCAGTAGTATTAGGCCAGCATATGCTACAGAGTGAGTTTGAGGCCAATCTAAGCTACATGATGCTCTGTTTCAAAAAACCAAACTGAAACAAAACAAAAAAAGAATACTACCAGCCTTTAATCCCAACACTCGGGAGGTAGAGACAGGTGAATCTCTAAGAGTTCAAGGCTAGCCTGGTCTACAGAGAGTTCCAGGACATGCTTCAAAGCAATAGAGAAACCCTGTCTCGAAAAACCAAAAACCAAACCAAACAAAGAAAAAGAATACCACTACCAAAGAGGCCACCCCAAAGCCAAGGACTAGGGATGTTTCTGTGGCAGAATGTTGTAAAGCCTTGGGCTCCATCCCCAGGATGTCATTCCACTCCTTCTGGAGGTAGAGGTGGGGTGTGTGTGTTTATGTGTGTGTCAGAAGCCCAAAGCCTTTCTAGGCTACACAAGCCACTGCTCCAAAACAATAAGACACAAAGGGAAGGGGCTAGAGAGATGGCTCAGCCATTAAGAGCTCTTCAACCAGGGTTCAATTCCCAGCACCCACATGCCACTCACAACTGTCTGTAACTCCAAGATCTGACACCCTTACACATATATACAGGCAAAACACTAATGTACATAAAATAAGAATAAAGAAAGATGCAAAGGAAGGTTCAGGTCCTGTGCACACATGACCCCAGAGCTCAGGGACAAAGGAAGGAGAACAGTGAGCTCTAGGGCAGCCTGTGCTCACAACCCTGCTGCCGTGCTATTCTGCTCAGCACACAGAACCCACCAGAGCCAGAATCATTCTCCCCACCCTCCCTCGGCTCCTTCTTGTCTCTCCCCTAGGCTGTGCCTGGCTGGGGGCGGGGGGGGGGGGGGTGTTCCAATGCTCACCTTGTTGTACAGAAAGACACCAAGAATGGCAGTCATCATGCCCAGCACATTGGTGCTGGTCACTGGATTGCGTAGCATGATGAGGGACACAGTGATGACCATTATCCTCTTGGTGGCATTAGCCACTGAGTAGCTGAGTGGACTGATGAGATTGAGGATGCTAAAGGCGATGACATTCTGTGCAAAGTTGCAGAATCCGCTGACTGCTAAGAGCAGCAGTGTCCAGGGCCACTGAGACACATAGGCCTGTGGAGACAGGCAGGGAGCATCATGGGGAGGGGCACATACATACTCAGGCAGGCTGTCACCAAGGGGCAGCAGGTGGTTATGTTTTTATTTATTTATTTATTTTTTTAATAGGCTCTCATGTGGCCCAGGTTGGCCTCAAACTGGTGGGTGACAGGTTTGGTAACAAGTGCCTTTACCCACTGAGCCATTTCACCAGTTTAGATGATGCTTTATACACATGACCTCTGACCCTCCTGACTACCCCACTGCACGGTGCAGTGGTTGAGGGCCATCTCTGGTCAGAGATGCAAAAATAGCCACCAAAAGATTGCAGAAATGATTAATCAGTTAAGAGTACTGGCTGCTCTCCTAGAGAGAGGGTCCAGATTAGATTCCCAGCACCCACACAGAGGATCACAATACTAGTCCAGGGGATCACATGTCCTCTTTTGGCTCCTGAGGGCACCAGGCACACATGCTGTATGTGGACATACATGCAGACAAAACACCCATACACACATCATTTAATTTTTCTTAGCTGGTGGTGCATGCCTTTAATCCCAGAGACAGGCAGATCTCTGAGTTCAAGGCCAGCCTTGTCTACAGAGTGAATTCCAGGACAGGCTCCAAAGCTACAGAAAAACTGTGTCTCCAAAACAAAAAGAAATTTTTTTTTCCTTTTTCTTCACAGGTCACCAAAAATGTGTGTGTGTATCAGGGTGCAGCTTGTCCCAGGAATCCCACCCCTGCCTCCTGGTACCTAAACCCTGTCTTCCCCACTGCACAACAAGCACTTTCCCCACTGAGCTGTCTTTATAGCTCCCCCCCCCCCAAAAAAAAAAAAAAACGTTTTATAAAGTTGGAGCACAGATACAGCTTAGTGGCGGAGCATGTATGAAGTCATGGCTTCCAGCACTCCAAACAAAGCAGAAGTGAGTATCAAACCAGACAAACCCAAGGAGTTGGGTGACAGAGCCCCAGAGCCTACTGCCCATCCTCAGACAGATGCCAGGAGAACACAATAGCCCAGCTAGGACACTGGGCAGTCCCAGGCATCAGTTTCCTCAGATGGCCTCACCCACCCTCCTACCCATCTTGTTCTTAGCCATCTTGTGGTGGCCCCTCTCTGGACATGATGGTTAGCAGGCATGCTAGCTGGCCACCAAGGGAAGGAAGACTCAAAAGAGTGACCCACAGAGTCAACCAAACCACACTGAGCTTCCAATTCAGGCATGATGGGCACAATTTCTACTCTAGCACTCACTCAGGAGGCGCAGACAGGAAGATCAGAGTTTGAAGTCATGCTGGGCCACATAATATAGGACATAGATGCTGCCTCAAAAAAAAAAAAAAAAAAACCCAGCAAAGGTGGGCTTGTGAGCAGATAGCCCAGTCAGGTAAGTGCTCAAGTTCAGAGCTCAGCACCACGTGAAAACAAAAACAAAACCACACAGTTACACACATGCAGAGCCCCACTGCTAGAGGTAGGAAGCTCGGGGGACAGAAGTGGGTGGATCCTGAGGCTTGGCAGGTAGCCAGTCTAAGATCCTACCTCAAAAAGACAAGGGGGAGCTACTGGAGAAGACACAGTGGATAACTCTGTTCTTCACAGAAGGCACACTGCTAGTGCATGTGTGTGTGCGCGCACACACACACACCCAAAGGGCAGAGAAGGAAAACTGTAAGGAGCAGAAACTGGATGCACTTTCTCTTCCTCTAACAAAGCTTCCTCTGGGATGGGACTTGCCACACCCAAGCCAAGAGCCCCAAGGTACTGCCTGGGCAGGAGTTGGCTGGGGTTGCCCTGGCAGGATGGACTTCAGTTTCATAGACACCAGTGCTGGGGACAGTGGCCAGCCCAGGGCAGGAAGAAGCATAGCAGAGGTGATGGCTTCTTTGAGGACAGAACCACCACTGGGGTCTTCACAGCGTCCTGAAAAAGTGCCCTCCCAGCATACTCAGCACTCACCCTCCCCTCTAAAGCGGCAACCACCATGGTAGTTTGTCCTTAGCACACAGCTATATAATAAACAGAATTGCACAACAGACCCATGCCTCTTCCATTCAGCCTTGTGAAAGGCAAGAAGGCGTTTTTCACTGATAGGCAATATTCCATTATGTGAACATAGCAGCTTTTCTTCATCTGCTAAAGGCAGTTTCCAGTTTCAAGTAAAAAGAGTTGATATAAACATTCACATACAGGCTCATACAGGATGACACTATGTAGCCCAGGCTGCTCTCACACTCTCTAAATCTTGCTGCTTCATTACTAAGTAATGGGATTATAGGCCCTGCCACTACACCAAACTAGACAATTTCTATTGACTGATCTTCAAGTTATGGGTTTTCCCACACTGTCATCACTACAGTCTGGAGGCTTTGTTGTTCCTATTCTAAGATTTCCATTCGATTTCTCTCTTTTCCCTTTCAATTGAAATAAAATTGTATCACTTCTCCTAACCCTTTCCTCCCACCAACCCTTCTCATGTACCCCAAGTTGGACAGCCTTTTGCTTTATTATTGTTACATATATGCATGTGTGAACACACATGAACAAACCTGTTGAGCATGTTTTGTGGTCTGTGTGTTTAGTTTCTGAGCTGACCGCTCTGCATTGGACAACCAAGGAGGGTTCTTATGCCTGGAAGAAGCTAATTCTCCTTCTTCCAGCAGTCTGGTAGTTCTTTGTGGACCCTGTGAGAGTGTCTTCCTTCCAGACTGGCATGTCCACTGATACTGTCCCTGTCTTGTGCAGCGTTCCCAGGGAGACTGCTTCACAGAGGACTTCCTGGTATTCTGGCTCTTATAATCTTCCCGTCCCCTCTAAGCAGGTGTCCCCTGAGCCATAGATGCAGGAGCTGTGATGAGAACGTATCCACTGAGGCTGTGCCCCCACACCTGCCCTCTGCACTGTCCAGCCGTGGCTTGCTGTGACGGGCTCCACACTGTGTGGTGTGAAGAGGCTGCTGTCATGAAGGAGTTGCAGTCATCCAGGAAAGGTGGCTTAGCACAGAGGATCCAGACCTATCTCTTTCCTCGAGACAGTCTCATGTAACCCAGGCTGGCCAATGTAGCTGAAGATGACTTTAAGGTCTTGATCCCCCTGCACGTATCCCCAAGTACTAGGGTGACACCACTTTTGTATTTTAAAAAATAATGGCATCTGTGTGCATGTGTGGGCAGCATGTGCCATGGTGCCTGAGGTCAGCACAGAGTCTGCAGGAATTGGCTTGCTCCCCCCATCATGTGAGTCCTAAGGATGGAACAGGTCACAAGGCTTGTATGGCAAGCATCTGCTGAGCCATTTCTTGGGCCCTGGAATGTGCCCAGGACCAACATGGCAGAAGACACTAACCCTTTGGCTTCAAACTCCAGCAGTTCATGGCAACTATGGTCAAAGCCTCTTCCAAAGCTTTGTTCTGAGTGTTCACTGTGGGACAGCGAGCTGGCTCATAGCTCCTTCCAGTCTCCAGGATGCTGTGTGGGGGCGGTGCTCACAGGTCCCACTAGCTGCTGTCTAGGATTTCCTTTTCTTTTTGAGACAGGTTCTCATGTAGCCCAGGCTGTCCTCAAACTTGCTGCTGTGTGGCCAAGGATGTATGCATTCCTGATCCTCCTGCCTCTGTACCCTGAATGCTGAGATGAGAGGTGAGTGCCTTCCTGTCTTGTGGGCCTTGAGGGGCCCTGGCCATAGCCAGCCCTGAGTGACAGTCTTGTACATGCAGTTCAGAACCTGTTGGCTTTTGCAAGATTCTTGTAGCAGGGGTGACTTCATTGAGGAAGCAGAGTGGAAGAGGAAGAGAGAGGTCCCCCCACCAAGGAAATGTCCCAATTCCTCACTTCCTCCTACCAAGTTGTCCCTCCATCAGATCCCACCACCTCTAACAGCTTTTACTGGGGATCCTTTCTGGCTGGTCAGATCCAGACTGACCATTACCACACTAGAAAGAGTGTGTGAGTATATGAGAGCGTACATGTGTGTGGGTGTACACATACACAAGTGTGTACGCTTGCATGTGCTCAAACGTGTGCTGGAGCATAAGGAGACTGTGCAATGGGGCCAGCCTCTCTTTCCCAGTTCCTATAGCTGCTCACAGGGTTTTAGGTTTTAGTCCATTTGGATTTAGATTTTTAAAGAAGGGCACTTGAATACTGCAAATACGAGTATAAACCCCTTGTGGATAGCTACTTCAACAGTCTTCAAAGAGTGCCATCATCTGTGGTTTCTCAGCACAGTCCCCAAGCACCAGGGCCAAGCATCCACACAGAAACCCAGCAACCCTGAGCCAAGACAAACCTCCTCTCCTCACGCCAATCAATCACCTCAGGTGCTCTATCACCACTTCTCCCCATGTCAAACATCTCAGGTGCTGTCTGTCAGTGATGGACAATGGACGCCCTGGCTCTCAGGCTCTTGTTTGAGATTGACTTCTCCCTCCCATTATGTGCTCCTGTTACTCTCATGCAGTCTCACAGGATGAGGCAGGAGCCCATGCAAGAGCCCACTCCATGCTGGACCTTCAGTCTCCAGACCTGAAAGCTAAAGATTCCTATTTTCTTATAAGCTGGACCACATCAGCATTCTGATACAGGAACAAAAACCACACTAGCACAGATAGATGCCCAAGGAATGCTCCAGGAAGAACACATGGCTACAACGCCCAGCAAAGTACATGTTTAGAAAGCAAATAAGGACACAATCTTAGCAGCCCCAACTCACCAGGTCGCTGCTAACCAGGAAGGTGGAGAGGTCCACTAGAACCCATGTGGGGATCATGAAGAACACTGCATGGCAGCCCAGGATGTTGAGCAGCCGCAGGTGGTGGATTCTTGAGTCCCTCAACACCTGAGGAAGATAGCCTCATTAGAGCCAATGACAGTTGGGCAGCAATAAGGCCTGGGTTTCTAGTCCCCAACATGAGACATCCAACCCCGGGTATCAGACTGGCTTGCTTATGAAGGAATATAGTCATGCCTGAGCAAAGCACTCTGTCCTGTGGAGAAGGGGCTGACAGTGGAATAATAGAACTACCTCAGTACACACCAGGGAGGATGTGGTAAACCAGGCACTCTGAAGCACTACCCCCACCCCACCCCCACTCTTTAAATTTGCATCTGTTGTCTTGCTCTGTAGCCTACCCAGGCCTGGCACTCACGGCAATCCTGCCTACATATGCTCATAACAGGCAGGTACCACCATGCCTGGCTGATAACCCTCTCAATTGAGTCTAGATTGGTTTAGCCTATGGAGCACCACCAGGCAATACCAGAAACAGATCCTACTCCAGACCATGGACCTCAAGTCTATCACAGGTGGGTGCCCAACCCAAGCAGGTAGCAGCATGCTCTGCAGAGGTTCACAAATATATTTCTTACGACAAGTTGGAAATAAACCACATTCCTAACAAGGGGACCCACTGTGCTGAAGGTGGCATCCAGCAGCCCTGAGCTTTCATCACTACTGAGCTTTGCAGCAGGGCGACACCACACAGAAATAGTGGATGAGCACGGCCATACAAGATGGGGAACTCAGAGGAAGAGCATGCTTAGCATACAAAAGTCCTCCAAAAGGAAAGGAGGGGCTGGGGAGATGGCTCCGGCATGAGGACCCAAGTTCAGATCCCTAGCACCCATACAGAAGTTGGGCATGGTGTCAAGAGTATATAAAGTATGGTGGTGAGAACTGCAGGCAACTCCCAGGGAGACTCATGGGATAAAATGGGGTGGGAGGGGGCATGGCAAGCTTAGTGGGAGACAATGTAAGGGTTTGGCAAGATGGGTCAGTGGGTAAAGGCTTGCCACCAAGCCTGAGGACCTGAGTTCAATGCCCAGAGGGAGAGCTGATACCTGCAGGTTATCTTTGCACATACACACTAAGTATATAAATAAAATGTAACAAGAAAACTTGTAAAAGAAAAGGAGCAAGAGAGATTAGCAGAGTAGGTTAGGATTAGGGTTAGTGTTGGCTTTCAGAACAAAACAAGGGACTCGGTAGACAGAAGGCATGGGAGGGCCTGCTCTGGCCAGTCTGCTTAAAGCCAGCATCCTCAGGCGACCAGCACCAGGGGTAGGGACCCACACACCTTTTTGGAGAATATGTTCTGAAGGGAGAAGCACAACGTGGCTGCCAGGGCGCTGATCAGTCCCCATACATCGAAGGACAGTTCTGTGACAGTGGCTAGCAGGACTCCGCTGATGATGGGGACCAGTGACAGGTACACCTACAGGAGGGCAGAGAGGCTCAGGTGGGCCAGGGCTACACACCACTCAGAACTGCAGGAAACCTCAGCTGGCCCTGTCCCTCACCTGGGGGACACCATCTTACACCTTGGAAAATGCCACCCACACCTCACATGGTGCTGCCATGTCCACCATCCTGGCACTCAGAAAGCTGAGGCAGAAGGATCACCTTGAGTCTCAGGTCTGGGGCTGGTGAGATGGCTGAAAGAGAAAGGCACCTGCCACTGAGCCTGACAACCCGCCCAAGCTTGATGCCCAAGACCCACATGGTGGAAGGAGAGAACTGACTGTCCCAAATGTTATCCCGTGACCCCCACACAGACAGGCAATACATGAATAAATAGAAAAAAGTCTGAGGCTAGTCTGGGCTACTTCCAAATTCTATCTCAAAAAAACAAAAACAAAAACCCAACCAGGTAGAAAACCAGGTGGATTTCCAGGGAGATTTTGTGTCAAAAAACAAATCAGGGTTCCAGTTAGTTGACTCAGAAGATAAAGACATCCAAATCTGAGTTAGCTCACTCAGTAGATAAAGACCCCCAAATCTGAGTTTGATCTCCAGAACTCCTTGTGGAAGACAAGAACCAACTCCTTCGAGTTATCCTCTCATCTTGTGTGTATTCACATCCCCACAAAAAAAGGAAAAAAAAAAAAATCTAAAAACAAATCAAGACCAGTAAGGTTTTTAGGTGCAAGACGTTTTAGGTGCAAGGGAAGTGGCCTTGGGACCTGAATGCCTGCCTCTGCATTCCTGGCCATGGTCCTCTTTCCCGGTCAGCATCCTGTATCTTCCCTTGAGAACAGGGATTCAGAGGCCTGAGTTATCTGCCTTGCAGGGCAAGTCCCTGCCCAAGAGGGCCAATTTCCAGGTACTGCACTTGTGAGGTTCTCGGCATCTTGCCGAGTCAGATACAATATCCCTGTGACAAGGAAAATTGATAAACACAAGGTGTGCTATCAGGTGACACACCTGGCTGTCTCCCCAGCAACTCTGACCCCCCAGGAGGCCAGCCCCATCTGACATCACACTGATGGGAGGGCACACTGGGACAACTGTAGAGTGCAGACAGCCAGAGGGGGCCCTGTTTATACAGTGATCCTGGGAGAAGCCACTCTGAGCTAAATCAATTATAGGACAGGGTGAGACGGCTTCCATCTGGGACACTGGCATCCCCACCACACTGAAGGACACAGTGAGCCCAGTTCTTGCTCTTTAACCTCAGGCCAGGAAAACACCCTGGCCTGGCATCTTCCCCAGGCAGCCCTGAGCTCTGGGTGCTCAGTCTGTGATCCACATGCAGATAATCACAATCTTGTTTTAAAACAGGCATCAAAACTCAGGCCTTTCTCAGCAAGGGCTCTAAGCTGAGCTACAACCTCCTTTTCCCCCTTTTCTCTCTTATTTCTTTGGAGACAGGATCTCTATACAGAGTCTCTGGAACCAGGCTGGCCTCAAACTCAGAGATGAGGAGGAGGAGAAGGAAGAAAAAGGAAAACCTATCTCATCTTAATTTGTTTCTTGGTGACTTGCCAAAATGGGGTCAAACAGACATCACCTACCAGCAAACCAAGGGAGGAATCAAAACAGAAAGGAAGAGTGGATCCGAGAGGGATGTGGCGCTCAGGGACAACAAGCAACAGATTATCTGGGGGCATTTCCCCTTCACACACACCTGCTGTTTGAAAGGTGAGTGCAGGACAGTAGGAAAGGCCCAGGAGGCCTACACCTTGACTTCCTTATTTGACAGGAAGCCAGAGGAATGCCACGGTCCAACCACGTCATCGACCCAGCCAGCTACGGGAATCCCGCCCTGCCAGGGTTACCTTGGTGCTCTGTTTTTCCTTCATGATGATCCGGGACAGGAGGACCACCCAGATGGGCATGGTGGCCTTGACTGCAAAGAGAGGAAAGGCACTCTACTCAGCGGGCAGTCCCGGCAGCCTGCACCCCCGACTCCAGACCTGTAAGGCTTCCTCCCTACTCCAATAGCTGAAGTCAGTTCTGCTCCGCGCTCGGTTAACTCCTCAGACATTTCCCAACCTGAGAATCCGCCGCGCCTTGGCAGCGGCTCGGTCTAACGGCCCCCGTACTCGTACCCATACTTGGAAGACCCAGGCGGCGCTCCCCGGCCCGGGTCCGCACCTACCGGTGTGCGCGTAGGACACTGGCACCTTCCAGATGCTGACGTGCGCCGACACCGATGCGAAGTACTTGCCGAAGGCGAGCGGCAGCACGTAGCGCGGGTAGAAGCGCGGAGGCAGCAACGGGCCGGACGCCGGGTGCGGACCAGGTCCGGGGCCCGACACGGGCGGCGCGGGCGGTACGTGCCAGGCGCGGAGCAGCGGCGGCAGCCCGGCGCACAGCGCTAGGATGTGGCACAGCGACACGGTGACCGGGAACGGGAAGGCGCTCAGGATCACCTTGTTGACCACGTTGCCGCCCGCGCTCAGCGCGTACCACAGTAGACACAGCGCCGCCACGCGCGCACCCTCGCGCGCCCCGCCGCCGCCCCCCCCGCCCGGGACCCCCGCGCCCGCGCCGGGACCCGCGGCTGCCGCCGCCGCCATCCTGCCCGAGCGGCCGCCCCTTCCCGCCGGACGACCGCCCGACGCGGGCCGGGGGCGGGACAGCCCGGGCAGGCGCGCCCACAGGCGCGCGTCACCATTGGTCGCCGTCCCTGGTCGTCATCTCCGATCGCCATTGGCAGTCTTCCTTACGTCATCACCGCGCGCCCGTAACCACGTCTCCGGCGAGAGACCCACCCTACTTAAAGGTTTCCGGAGGGGGACGGGGCCGAGCCCGGAAGGCGTGCCGTGGACCCCGCGCGTGCGCAACGCGGCTTCCGCTGGCGGGGCTCAGTGAGCGGTGTGAGGTAACGTGGGCCCGCCCACTTGTGGTGTGGAAGCAGGGTGCCTGGAGCGCCGACAGGATTAACAAAAAGATCTTTTAGGGGAAAAGAAGCCAATTGTGTCTGGCCGACGCCAGATCCTCGGAATCTGTGCGGTAGGTGTCACATTCCCCTCACAGCCCAGGGCTGGGCGCCTCCTGCGACACTTGTCTGCAGAGCCCTGCTGACCGGGATGGTGCTGGGCTGAAGGCTGCTGGCGAGAGCTCTGAGGCAGGACAAGACTATAGCACCATGATCCAACTACAAAACTCGATTCCGAAGATCGTGTGCTTTCAAGTGCTTGTGGGAAAAGCATCGTTCTGGTCCCTTTAAAAAAAATATTCATTTATGGAGGAGGGGCATGTGTGGGGTGGTACACTTATGGAAGTCAGAGAACTTGGGTCTGTTGTCTCCTTCCCACCATGTGGGTTCAGGGGACCAAACTCACGTCCTCTGGCTTCGCAACAAGCGTATATCCACTGAGCCATCTCGCCGATCTCAACATTCTCCTTTACAATGTCTTTTAGCAGTGTAGAAAATGTCAGCCTAACTCATTGTAGCTCATCTCTGTTCTCGAAGGTAGATCATGTGTAACTTCCTGGGGCTTGCTGAATACTCAACACAGGTGTGGCAGTCCCTGAACTTGTAGTAAGGGTCAAGTGGCCACAGTGACATGTTTCGGTCGCTTTTATCTCATTTTGGATTTGGCCCTGGCAACTTTGTGGAAGCCTTTTCATCTCACATGAACATGTGATCATGATGAACACTGGCTCAGGGCCACACAGCTAGGTTCCACCTCCTCAAATGGTCCTTTAGTGGGAGGGACCATTCTGCACCAGATCACATAAGTCCTTACTGGTTCTCAATGTCATTGTGGGTTGGCTGTGGTCCTGAAAACCTGAAGGAAATGTTCTAGGACTTGATCCCATACAGCTGCTGTCTTATGGGTAGTTACCCATAAGTTACTCATCTTTGAAACTAAGCAACTATAGATAATGTAACCTATCTGAAGAGTGAAAAACAAAACTGGAAATTACTGATTTTGGGGAGGAGAAAACTACATCATTACTTTGTAATGGAGGAGAAACCCTGGCAGGTAACTGTCAGGTAGGGAGGCAGCCTTAGGCCTGCCTGCAGCTGCTAGCCCAGGGCCATGTCATGTCAGAAAGTACTGGTGGGCAGGGAAGGTGCCATCAGCTACACTACCTGCAGGAGAGGGTTTCTCTGGGTGGGTAACCAAGGTGATGTGGTTGGCCCCAACTGAATGAAACACAGAGACACCCTGCCTGCTGCCACAGAAGCAAGCTAATAGGATGCCACCAAGGCTGGGCCCACTGAGTGTGGCTGTGGGCTCCAGGGACTTACCCATGGAGGAATACAGGAAAGGCCAAAGGTAAATGAGAAATTATTCCAAATCTGGTTTGTGCAAATGTTTTTTTTTTTTATTTCCACATTTATATCACAAGGTGTCCACTTACTGGACCAAATAGCAAAGTTGCTCCCTTCTGCGCGGACGCAGAAGTCTAGGTACTGTACATTCACTAAGGCTCCTTGTTTTTGCAAATTGCGTTTATGACAACCATAAGGCAAACGAATCTAAAGGAATGGTTATGAGTGTTTCCAGCAAACAGACACAGCTATCCTTGCCCAGCAGGGCAACTCCTGCCAGTAGCACCCTCGGGAACTTTGTGAGGTTGAGGGCTCTAGAAAGATGGCAATTTCTAGAGATGTGGAGAGGAAAAGAGGAAGAAAGGAAAAGTCATATGGCTGGTGGCCAGGTGGAAAAGAAGATGAAATAAACAAGAAAACTGAAGTTTCTGCAGCATTTCTTTAAGAACTGGGGTTGAACTGAAACCATATACAAATGGGTAGACACCTGTGCAGTGTGGGTGAAGTTGGCCCACCCGCCCAATGCCAGGGCTCACCACAGCAGAGAAGCTTCTAGCGCACAACACGAGGGAAAAGAAAACACTGGCTTGGCAAAGGCCAGAGACTGGCCAGAGCCAAAGAGTAGGAGATTCAGAGATGAGATGTGCGTCTGTTGCTGTTAAGGTAACCTCTCCCACAGGGTTCCTGTGCCTGCCTGCCACTGAGGTCCCCACCTTCGGTGCTAGAGAGACTCTGTACCTCTTCTGGGGTGGGGGACCTAACGCTTTATAGCTGGCTTGCTATAGAGTTCTGGACTCCCTCTGCCATCTGCCCTCCAAGCAGCCCTTCCTTTGCAATCGTTAGTAAACTGGTAGCAGCATTTCACAAAAGGAGGGTGGAGAGAGGGCCTCATGCCCGCCCTCCGGGCTGGCCAGCCTAGCCCCTGGCAAGGTGGAAATGCACTTGATGGCCAGGCCAGGTGCTCAGTCCAAGCAGACATAAGGCAGAATGTTCAAGCGCCCATCGTCACCATGAGGGTCGAGTGATATGCACTGCGTCCAGTCATACCAATTACCCTGTGTGTCCTCACACCCGTTCACCCCTGGCCACTGCCGGGCCTGGATTCTGTCCAGATCGTCCTGTGTGATCTCCCGAGTGAGCCCCGGGAGGTCAGTTGGCGTGGGCACTGGCAGCAGCACATGGGGCTGCCGGGCCCCTCGCCGACTGCTCTCCTCCTGCTTCAGATACTCGGCCATAAAGTGGTGCGCACCTGGGGTCTGCGCGCCAGATGATGATAGCAAGCTGCTCTGGCGGCTCAGATAGGACTGGATGATCTCGTTTCGTGACAGCTCCTTCCAGTTCGTCTGCTCAAAAGGACTCTGGAGGCTGGCCTTGGCCTCCTGGTGGTCCTGCTCTGTCCTAGGTGGCTGTTCTGTGGGTACGGGGCTGTCGGCCCTCACTGGCTCTTTCTGGGTCAGAGGTTTGATCTGTCTCGTCATGGGGTCAAAGGTGAGCTTCCGCTCTTTTAACCGCACAGGCTTGACACCTGCCTCAGCCACCTGCCCGTCCAAGTTCACCGTGTAGTCTCGAGGTCGGTACCTCTTTTTCTTTTTGCTGTCCGAGCCACCTGAAGAGGCAGCATCACTGTCCGCCCTGGAGGGATCTGGCGACAACCCAACCCTGCAGGCTGGCCCTGTTAACCGCGGGTGACCCTCTGGCTGCTCTGGCCAGTGCACAGGGCTCTCAGCACTAGACAGCAGCTCCATCCGCCGCACAGGGGGTGTGGACGGCTGGGCTAATGGGAGTGGGGATGGCACCTGTGTGGTGTCCAGTGGCTGGGGGCGTGGGGAGGGGCTGGATACAGGGCCCTTCGGTATGTACGAGCTCCGCTGCCGGGCAAAGGAGCCTTCATGCCGTGAGTTCCGGGGACTGAAGGAGCAGCGAGAGGTCCCCCTGGGATGAGGGCCTGGTGGCTCATCTGCCCTGTCCAGCTGCGCAGCCTTGGTCTGCAGGCAGGGCACGGGGGGCTTGCCCAGGCCCGGGGAGCTGGGGCGTGGTCGCACGGCGTTCACGGGAATCTTGGTACTGTGCTTCTCATTGTCGCTGGGTTCCAGACGGCTGCCATCAGGGCCCAAGTGCCCACTGCCATCCAGGGGGCTAGGTAAGCTCTCTGGGCTGCCACTGATCCCATTAGTGGGTAGAGGGGATGCACTGGGAACTAGGGGGTCAAGACTGGCTTTGGGAACTTTGTGGGGTGGCCCTGGGTGGCCCAGATCACGCTGGTCCCCCCTACGCTTACGGCTGCCCAGCCTGTCCAGCCGCTGCCCAGGGAGCCTCTGGATGTCATTGCGATTCTTCAGGTCATGGATGCTCTTGGGTGTGCTGGCCACTCCCACCTCTGGCCGGCAGTTGTGTGCGCCTCCATTGGCAGAGCCTGCAGCTCCCGCCAGTGCCCGTAGTGCCACCTCATTCTGGTGCACTGGCTCGATGAGCTTCTGCCAGCTCCGCAGAAGCCTCTTGGCCCGCTTGGCCAGCTCCTCATTCTTGGTTTTCTTTCGGACATCATTGATGAGCTTCCCGAGTCGTGTCTCCTACAACCAAGAGAATGGTATGCTTATATAATAGGGACATAAACGTGCAGGACAAGGGAGCTGAGCCTTCCCTACCAGTCCCCAAACTGCCAGCTTACTGGATAGAGCTTGGAGGTGTCCAGTACTATGTGGCAGCATTAATACTTAGGTTTTGGGACTCAGGGGCTTCCTCAAAAGCAGGTCCACTGGTTCTTGGAACCTGCAGAGTCTATTCCATCAAGGCCATATAGCTGTTCCACCTGGGTGAACACATTTCACAGCCTAAGACCTGGTCTCCAAAGGGCAGGGCCACTAACTAATTGACTAAAGCTCAGCGCAAGCCATGTTCCAAAATGCTATGAGGTGTGCAGGTTTGGGACGGAGCCCAACTATGAGATTAGAAGCCTTAACTCTTGGACAGTCCTGTGCGAAGACCAATGTCCTGGACACACTGCCCACTGGGTCCCCCGAAGGACTCCAAAAGCCTAAGCCATAGGAAGAAGGTGGCTGGGAGCTACCCTCACCTCCCATTCTGCCTAAAGTTGAGCTCTTACCTCTAGTGCCTCTTTGGTGATAGGGTATCTCTCCAGACTGGAGATCACTTCCAATACTGCAACCATGTTCCGGATCTGAAGAACAAGAAACATGTTATCAGCTTAGGGCTCCCACTGAAAGCCCAGCAGCCCAGGGCCTTTTGAAGTGCCAGCACTGGTCACCACCAAAACCCCTATCACCATCTCCTAAGGGTTCAACATTG